TTGGACCAGCTGAAACAGCACCGCTTGTGGAGGAGCTGCAAACAGAACTAACAGGAGCGTCCACAGAGGGGTCACCAGGAGGAGTTGAATCAAGAGATGCAATGGGCTTCCTTGCACGCAATTTGTGATCAGGAGGCACATCCTCACGCAAGAATAGGTGCTTTATACGAAAGTCTTTTAATGCAGTCTTCCGAAGTAAAACAAGCTTACGATCCCAAGCAGTGCACAACTTAATTAGAACTGGACGTGGACGAGACATGGAGGAGGTCGACCGTACATACTTTCCTAATCGAAACATATCCTTAATATGAACTAATTTGCCAGAAACAAACTCTAATATTTCATCAACAACCTTCTTGGACTCTACAAGGGATTTCCCCTCGGGCAACCCAAAGAGGATTATATTACTCGCACGCTCATCAGCAGAGGAAGACCTCTGGGGAGTAAAACTTTTACGTGAGACCACTGAAGAGGAATGTGTAGCAACTGGAGTAGGAGCAGAAGAGGTAACGGTGGCATAACTGACAGGTGACTGAGCACCACAGGCAGCAGCTGGAGAAGCACAAGGAACTATAAGAAAGTGGAAAGCTTCCTTTCAAGGCCCTCAATTACAGAGGAAAGGGCATTCAACACCTGTGAGTTAGAATGTACCTGCTCAGCAACTGGATCAAGAGACAGCTGAGAAGCCTCACAGTAGATAGTGGGAATAGTGTCAGAAGGTTGGCTACAAGTTGACTACCATTGTCTGAATCACGACGTGCGTGAAACACCAAACCGTTAGCCTCAAGAACAACTACAGTGATCCCACAAAAGCCTCTTAGCAACCTCTACATCATTATTGCAAAACCGCTCACCCACAATTCTTCTAAGGGTGTCTGTGTCGCCCTTTAGGCGGTAGGCCACCACAAAAGAGAGAACAGTGTTGACCAACAAGGGTTTGTGCCTAATAGCACCAGAGAAAGGAGTCAAACCTGTGTTATCTACAGAAAAACCCGACTGAGCGGAATGAGAGCAAGGTAAACAAGGGCTGTGATTTCCAGCGGCAGAGTCACCCTGCACAGCATCTGAAAGGGTGCCAGTAGAGTTTAAGGATTCTGACTGACTGACTTGTGGCAACAAACAAGGCAAACTTGCAGAAATAAGGCCACTAACAGACCTCGAAACAGTAGAACTAACAACAACAACAGGTTGTGTAAAAGAAGGCAGGCTCTGATGAAGCGAAAGGAAATAATCCGATAAAGGCTTTGCAAGGACTGTTTCCATGCACTTCGCTTTTTCCCCAGCAAAACTCTCAAACTCAGGAGGAGAGAACCAACTACCATTTACAAGAATGCATTCTGGTTGAGGTTTCTAGGACTCATCAAGCTTAGACAGACACAAACTTCCGGAAACATTACCACAGGTAACAATGAAAAGCACTAAAGTGCAAACCCTCGGCAAACTGCGCATGAGCGGTACCGTTAATGGGACGGGCTGGTGCATACCCGCAGTCTCCCGCTAGTAGCTCGCGGAGAGTCTGACACGGGCTAGCTACGGTAGTAGATAGCATGCGGGAGTCGATACACGCCCTTCGCTATGGTTTCTTGTGCCTCCAAGGTACACAGAGCAAGCGGATCAGGTCAGGGTGAGCCAGCATACCGCGTTTATCGCGTCTAATACACGCATGCGCACCGCTTATTGATGGGTTGGGCCACGCAACACAGTCCTCTACCGTGCCAGTTTGTCGCTCTCGAACGCAGTCGTTTCAGGAAAATCGCCCTTTTATTTTTCAGGCTCGCGTAGTTCTGAAGCCGTTGGTATCGTTAATTAATGGGCCGCCTCGTAGCCTGTATAATTAAGCGTCGACACACACACACAGACAGACAGACAAACCATGACCAACTACAGTAACCCTCGCTGCGCATGCGCGCCGAGGATTAATAATATGTGAAACCAAAGAGTCTTGCAAAATAGAAGGTTGAAGTTTGTAACCCAAACCAACAAGCCGTGTATCCTTTTTACCTCTCCCGGACATCACATACAAAAAAACCTCAAAGCAGCTACCAACAACGGAAAAACAACAGCAATGCAACAAAATAGAGTTAAACACTCAGATCAAAGACAAACAACCCATATAACAATTAAAGTGAAAACCCTCGGCCAACTGCAAATGCGCGATACTTCTAATTGATGGGCTGGGCTATAGTTTGCGTTTACCCGTGGTCGCTTGTAGCTCGCGAAGAGTCTGACACGGGCTAGCTACAGTAGTGGATAGCATGCGTGAGTCGATACATGCCATTCGTTTTGACTTCTTGAGCCCCCAAGGTACACAGAGCGAGCGGATCAGGTCGCAGTAAGCCCAGTGGGATTATGCATATTGGCTTTTTCGCTTGTTTTCACGGCATATCGCAGTCGTTACAGGAAAATCGCCCTTTTGGTTTTTCAGGCTCGCGTAGTTCTGAAGCCGCTGGTATAACTAATAGGCCGCCTCGTAGCCTGTAGTGTCAGAATAAGCGTCGACACACAGAAAGACAGACAGACAGACAGACAGAACGACTACAGTATCCCTCGCTGCGCATGCGCGCCGAGGGTTAACAAAACCGCTCACCATATAACAACAGAACAGCTCACCCCTGCACAACAAACAGGATCAGCTGAAGATACTATCGCCAAAAGATCAAGCCACGTAGCAACAACAGCAGACAACAGCAGACGAGAAGGCGGCGGGAGTGTGAGTCGTCGTCCAGCGGCGGCGGACCGGTGAACGAGAAGACGACATCGTCAAGGGAGACTGAGACTGTCCAAAAAGAACTTGCCGAGAACTTGTCGAGAACGAGTCGTCGAGATAGAGTCGTTGGTCGGGGATAGCTAAATCGTTGGATGAATATAATTTATTATGGCTAAATCATATAGCTGTGTAAAATTTTGATACACACTCAAGTGGTATATATCAGTCTGTGTAAAATTTATGCTGTCTCTGTTATTTAAGTATCTTTATGACGCAATGCAACTATATATATAGGATAAATTGCGGGGTTGTTAGATCGCGTGTATACCTGATCATTCGCATGCGCTCAACTTCCTCCAGGACCCCGCCCCTCATTGATAACAAAATGGCGGAGTTGCAGTCATCTATTGAACAGGCCATTGTGCAAGCACTCTCTGCTGATGCAAATCCTCTATGTTTGGAGAAAGCTGCGCCTCGTCACACGTGACCCTATGCGCATGCGGAGAGCGGAGAGTCTCCGACTATATCCCTCCGGCGATTTAGCCACTAGCTATAATCTATCAATCGATTTGGCTAGAATTACCTGACGATTTAGCTATACCCACGCAACGATTTAGCTATATCCATGAAACGATTTAGCTACATCCATCCAATATATCTATCCAACGATTTAGCTAACGCTGCGAAAAGGGGTAGCTAGTCTGGTGAACGCGAATTTTGAGACAAATGGCGCCCCATAGTATGCAGAGGGGGCTGACCGATGGTTGGGGAGCGATAGACGCCTGAAGAAGGTATGTCCGCAGTGTGACACAACAGTACATGCTAGACGGGCAGTTACGTCCATGGGATGGGATATAGAGCATGGTTAATGAAAAGATTTGAGCACGCTGACACCCCGACCCCATCACGTAATCCCTATATTGTTGCCTGGTGTGCCATTTGTAAACTCCATTTGTACTCTTGGTTACTCAGTAGCATGACTTTTTTGTATTTCAAGCGGTAAGTCCTGCTATTGTGTAATTTTGAATGTGGTGTACTTCACCTAGGCAACAATATAGGGATTGCGTGGTGGGGTTGGGGGTGTCAGCGTGCTCAAATGTGTTCATTAACCATGCTTCATGTATCCCATCCCTGTCTTGTCTCCCTTTCTTTTTATACCATCCCTATATGCCTCATTTTTTAAATTCGGAGGATTTTTAATTTACTTGTCATGATTACAAATCCAGATGTGCAGCTTCCATTTCTCACACAGAAAGATCCAAAGAAAATTCACTTTCAACAGTTTGGAGAATACTGTACTTCCTGTTGCAATGACTGCAAAAATGGCCTATTTTTCAGCTACACGGAATCGAAGGTGTGGGAAATGTAAAGGATGTAGGATGGACATGTGTGGAACCTGCATTAACTGTAGGGACATGAAAAAGTACGGGGGAACAGGAAGGAATAAGAAAGCATGCGGTAAAAAAGTTTGTACAGCATCATGGGCGCTTACAGAAACAGCCGGTTCAGCCTTGTTTCAGACTCAAACCTCTCCACCACTGTCCAAGCAGAGTCCATCCTCCCTGGCACAGTCGCCCCAGACTCAGTCCTCATCACTCCCGCAGACGTCACCACATTGCTCTCTCAGATGACTCCTCAGCACTCTATATACTCCTGGCTGTCCTGTGCTTATCTTCTAAAGAATCTGACTACACGTATCCTTTAGTGTGCGTTCTACACCTTTGTAGCTCTCAGTTGACAATCGTTGGCTTTGTTTGCTCTGCGGAAATAGAAATACTTTCACTCTTTATAAACACAGTAAAACATTGGACAGTCAACTCATTCAGATAATCACGAGTGGGTATATACCTGAAACTGTGACTCAAACATTTGTGCAACTGGATCACGTTCTGTGATGACTACAGTCACAAACATTTCTGTAATTTCCTCCCTAACTTGAACTGATTCAGTTACTATATACATGCAATTGGCTGAATGACCGTGTCCAATGTCCACCGATATGCAATGCTCCCTGTTACAACACAGCACTGTCCTGTGCTTGACGGAACGTCTCTATACTCTCAGGTACTTATCTTCTGAAGAATCTGACTACACGTATCCTTTAGTGTGCATTCTAAACCAACTCTCCAAGTTTTCTTTTCATGATTTGTGTCAATTTTCCTTAGCCTCCTCAGAACACTCCACAGACGTCACCTCCCCAGCTGTCACTCCCGCAGACGTCACCACTTCAGACTCCTCAGCACTCTACTCGTGGCTGTCCTGTGCTTGACGGAACGTCTCTAGACTCTCAGTAGTAAACTTTAGTGTATGAATTTCTCTATGTAGCTATGCTTTATACACAAACTCTGTCATTGTTTTTCATGAATTGTGTCAAATTATTGGTCTCTCTTTAATCCTCCCTCCAGACATCTGTTGGTAACCATGAAGTGAGAGGACAGGAAGGAATTTCTCAGCTAACAATTCTTTCTCTGACTTTTATCTTATCTCTTTCTACTCCTCAGCTCCCATCCCCTACTACGTCACCCTCACCGACCGCACTTCCTACAGTGAAGAATCGGGATACCAGAAAAAGAAGCCGTACTAATAGACTAAAAGATATCTTTAGTACCTACTTTAATCCTACTGTTAGTAAAATGGCGAGACATGCCCCTCCAAAATTCAATTAACTGGTGCTTGCACACCCAAACCTTTATGAATGTTTACACAGTAAAATGCGAAATAGAAAGGAAAAGACGCCTATATACAAACTACAAATGTTACTTCAGAGGCAAAGTGTGGAGGAGAGAGCTCGAGGAGAACAAGAGAACAGAGAAAGAGCGGAGAGGGAGAACAGAGAACAGAGGATAGTTGGGAGAAGAGAAGTGGAGTGAGGAGAACAAGAGAATGTAGAGAGAACAGAGAACGGGGAGAGTGGGGAGAGAAGAAGAAGGGAGTGACGAGAACAAGAGAGAATGTAGAGAACAGAGAACAGGGGAGAGAGTGGGGGAGAAGAGGAGAGAGAGAGAACAAGAGAATGTAGAGAACAGAGAACAGGGGAGAGTGGGGAGAAGAGAAGAGGAGTGAGAAAACAAGAAAATGTACAGAACAGAGAACGGGGGAGAGTGGGGAGAAGAGGAGGAGAGAGAACAGAGAACAGGGGAGAGTGGGGAGAAGAGAAGAGGAGTTAGAGAACAAGAAAATGTACAGAACAGAGAACGGGGGAGAGTGGGGAGAGAGAAGAGGGAGAGAGAGAGGAGAACGAGAGAATGTAGAGAACAGAGAAAGGGGGAGAGGAGGTGGGGAGAAGAAAAGGGGAGAGAGAACGAGAGAATGTAGAGAACAGAGAACAGGAGAGTGGGGAGAAGAGAAGAGAGGAAAGAGAACAAGAGAATGTAGCAAACTGAGGAGAGTGGGGAGAAGAGCTGGGGAGAAGCGAGGAGGGGAGAGAACAAGAGAGTTGGGAGAAGAATCCCGAGACGCGCTCCCAAGCGCGAGCCATGCTTTGCTTGCGGTCCCCTTCGATTGAAGGTCATAGAATCTCTGCGAAGAACGGGTTTCTCGATGGCCAATTAAAAACACCCGTGCTCCGCGTTTTTTGGGCGTGGATAACAAACAGCGAACGAGCTGTTCGGTGCTGTCTTCTTTCGTCTCAGTGAGTTCAGCCCGTATATACAGCTCAGCAATTATTACATGGCGGACGTCAGACCAGGAAGGAGGAGTCCTCTTAGTCCCAGACGAGGGAAGAGACGTAAGTATAGCTTTGCACCCACCGATAATTCCAGGCCTCGACCTGTGTAGCTAGCTACAGTAGCTATGGTTGATCAAAGATGAAAGCTACCAAATTCTCACGTGAAAACAAGAGCTTAGCTGATACTTATGAGAAAATATCTATTGAGAACGTACATAGAGCCACAAACACACTAACAGCCAGTAATAATCTCTGCAGACTCCAAACACGTGCCACTGAGCAGAAGAAAGAGTCCTGAAAGCTCCAGGAGCAGGAGAGGAAAGAGAAGTGAGTGTGGACACCCTTCTTCTTTTATGTGTGTGGCTTGCTACTCAAAATACAGCAGACAGTATCAGCGGTCATGCGCATGCAGCGAGGGTTTACAGTACTTGGTCTGTGTGTGTCTGTCCGTCTATCTGACTGCAGCTATTCTGGCACTTTAGGCTATGAGGCAGCCAATGAGTGATACCAACAGCTTCCAAACTACGCAATCCTATAATAATAAAATAGCGATTTTCCTGAAATGACTGTGTTTGAGAGATATGCCATGAAAAGCGAAAAAACCAATAAGCATAATTTCTCTGGCTTACCTCGACTGGGTCCGCTCGCTCTGTGTACCTTGGATGCACAAGAAGTCACAACGAAGGACATGTATCGACTCACGCATGCTATCTACTGCTGTATCTAGCCAGTGTCAGACTCTCAGCGAGCTACTAGCGGGAGACCACTAGTAAATGCATACTCAAGCGCACACACATAAATGCAGTTTATAACGTCCAGGAGCTATACAGCCAAATACTGGTTTTGCCCACTTTGCATCAATGCGCCATGGGGTCTATTTATATTAGCATTCCTCACATTGAATAGAAGTCACCCCTCAACCTGGGTATATGGGCCTTAAGTATGTAAACATATACTAGGACTAATACTACAAATATGTAGGTTATCAAAACTGAAGCCACAAGTGTGCAACCAATAGACCACAAGCTAAGCCATCTTGTATAATGTGTTTGTATGATGACATCCAGCGGTAAGGCCCTGACCAATGAGATTCGGCAAATGGTTTCAAAATACCTTCTTTTTAATGCACACCACCTCTTGAAAATGCGGAGAGAGCTAGCTAGCAAAGAGAGGCGGCTGCGATAAGCGCTTTGGTTTAGTCCAGCTGCGCAGTCTTGACTCATAAGCAACAAGGGGTACGTCAAAGCTACTTTTTTCGCTGCTGGACCCAACGCGTAAGTTTTATAGCTGCCCCTCTGGCTCGTTTTTGTCTCCCGCCATACCTAGCGCTCTCGAATGCGCGGTTTTGACTGATAAGCAACGGTCATTTCAATGTTACAGGTATATACGTCAAAGCTATTTATTTCGCTGCTCTGAAAAAATTAATTTAAAATTGCTATCGTCTAACTACCATACACACACTGTGGTTTATGCAAATGAGTTAACATACAGCTAAAGTATGGGGAAATTGTATGGCCTCTTTATGGTATAACTACCCGTACACTCAGCAGGAAGCGCTTACTACGGATCTACGTTGTTTGGACTAGCTGGAATTCCTTTGATCTTACTCTCAGTCATCATACAATAAGGGTTATACCGTAGCTGGGCTAACATCATCACTTTCTTGACAAGGGTATAATTATAATACAGTAGTAGAACCTCCGATAAAGGGCCCTCCAAGATAGGGACGACCTCTCTACAAAGGACATTTGTTTAAATCCCATGTGCTAATACTTTATTTGACTTCCGAGATAGGGATGACCTCCCTACAAAGGACATTTGTTTAAATCCCATGTGCTAATACTTTATTTGACTCCCAGATAGGGACGACCTCCCTACAAAGGATAAAATCATTGGCCCATAGTGTCCCTTGTTCAGAGGTTCCACTGTACACAGCTGGACTCTCTACTACACCCCGTGTGTTGACTATTGTCTCTGGTGTGTGTTGCTGCAGGTGTTCCTCTCACTCCCTCCAATGTGATGAGAGAAGTGAGGGAGGTGGGGAATTGGTGGGAGGAGGAGGGACTGGGATACTATCTCTACATACCACAGTCAAAGAGAGAGGAGATTAGACAGAAGTTCCCAGATGAGATGGAGCAGAAGAAAAAGCTGATTTCACACTGGATTAACACCGACCCACTGGCAAGCTGGAGGAGACTCATTGTGGCACTGGATTACATGAAACAAACCAAGATGGCTGACTTCATAAGATCCTATGCTGAACCTCTCACTGGTAAAGAACAAATGCAACATTTTATTGGCGAGCTATTCAGTTACGTGAAATGTTACAGCTCCGTATACATAAACTAATTGTAGTTCGAACCATGGACAATTTTCTAAGCACAAACAAAAATAATCTTATATACATGTGAATAAATGAAAAACCCCATACATACATGTGTGGCAGCCTCTCGGTGGCTGGTGTTTAATCTACTATAGCTATCATTGTCCGTTGTGATGTACAAGTGGTGTTCCTCCCTACCAGATGACAGTCTCACTCCACACACACTGCTACCTGCTGTGACCTCTGTGAGACAGTTCTGGAGGCGAAATGATGATGATGAGGGGCTGCTGGAGGTGCTTGGTGTCCCCTGGTCAGTGATGGATCGTATCAGGGCCAATCCATCGCACACAACTGAAGAGGTGAAAAGGATTGCAGGTCTACAGTACTACCTCCAGACCCTGCCTAGTGCATCATGGGAGATGATAGCTGGAACATTATGGTATCTGGAGGAGCACACAGTCCTGGAGGAAGTCAGACAACATCTACCATCTACATATGGTGAGTGGTTGGTGTTTCAATTTATCCCTCATTGCTGCGTACTCGTTTCTAACTTAATATTCAGAGTAGCACAATTGGAGCCCTGTGAATAGAATTACTTTTAGCCACCATGTTTGTAAAACGTAAGCCTTTTTTCTAACCAGTGTTAGGTGCCGTGTGTCCTTGAAACACTAGTCCGTCAGTTGAATGACTTTTGCAGAGTTTTGTGTTTCTGCTACTCAATTGCCGTCATTTTATTCCCTGTCTACACTGGAAATTGTTTGCACGAGCCCATCACATTTAATGTTACATGTCTACCACAAGTTGTTGTGGTAACTGAACAGGAAAAATAGAGCAATTCTCTTCTTATATTGCATGATGCACACCAAGTAAATAATTTTGAGTTTGTAGTAAGATGATGAATGTATGTAACCATCTGTACCAAGAGCAGAGAGTGGAAGAGAGCTTGATATGTGCGTGACTTTCTCAACACTACATATATGTTATGTACTACGTGCGAGGGACATACCGGATTTCAATGAACCCGAGGGCCTCCGCGTTTGTAGTGTCCCGAGCGCAGCGAGGGCACTACGCGGATGGCCGAGGTTCATTGAAATCCGGTATGTCCCGAGTATAACGGAGTACATAACATGTTTAGTCAGAGGCAAATCAGCTCGTATACGCGCACTGCGTTCCAAGCACAGGGAATTTGAAGATGCGAGAAAGAGACGAGAGCGCAAGACCGTCATCTCGGGCGGACTATTGACGCCGAACGCTAGGATACACTGCTGCTCCGCCGCTCTACTAGCTACTCCCCGCTGTGGGACTGTCCTCCGCCACTCACATCCGAAGAAACGCGACAGGAGACCTGCGCGAACCATCGCAATCAGAGAGAGGCGACTTCAGGCGCTGTGCGGGCTGCTCATACCGAAGGCGTTCGCCGTCGACTTACTAGCTTGTCGCGCGCGCCCACTCGCTCGCGGAGCCCCACCCCCTTATTTGCGTGCGGGTGGTTTGTTGCGCGGGCGTGAGCTGCCTGGCTATCTAATATGTATATACATGGCAAGGAGGGAGATGGGCTCAAAGCAGACACAGAAAACTGTCTCGTGGAAAAGAAAATCAAGATATCAGTGTATTTTGATCAACATTTTGGACAGATCATGTTTTGCGGGGATACATTTCTTACATGAATGCTGTTGAACTTGTTGAAATCAACAGAAAAAACAAGGTTCATATCATGTTTTTCATGTTACTTTTGTTAGCTCACGAGGTTCATATGAGAAATCAGGAACCTCGTACTAACAAATCTGATTGGTCGATTCGAATCAGCTATGCACTAAACACATGTAGTGGTTTACGGCAATGCGTTTTTGGTGAGGTAACGAAAGAGTCACACACTGCATCCACGTAATTAGAATTATTGTGTATATGCAACAATTCCATTATCATCATCACCATCGTAACATATTCATATGGAGAGAAGTGCATGCTCCCAAATCATAGTTAACTGTCTGTTTACTCTCAGATCCCAGCCTCACTCCCTCCAACATGAGAGCAGCACTGGACACACTGCCAGCTGACAAGTGGGGGAGTTTGGTGTTGGACTAGATGTCCCGCGGTCCAAGTTGGTCGAGATCAGGTCTCAGTTCACTAGTGATGAGGAGAGGAAGGATGAGCTCATCAGAATATATCACACCCAACATCCCCACCCAACATGGGAGCATGTCTCAGATGCTCTCTACTGGTGTGGTGCTGTATCTCATGATCAGCAGTATCACAATGTTCTTGACAGACTCCAGTCCATGTTCCCCACTGGTAAGTCTGTCTCCCCATCTCAACAGCTATTGAAAGTTTTTAGGCTTCCACAAATTGGCCATGTTGCATTAGCAAACCTCGTGTATAGTTTAGCAATATTTCTAACGCTTAGCTGGTGAGTTACGTATTGACTGCAGAGATGACCATAAAACATCCACCACACATAGCGCAGTGCATCTAACCATATGGCAAAAACTTGCAACCTATTAATGTGCCAAGTAGCTATGTATCAACTGATTGGAGTTTTTGTTCATAGAAACATGTGGCATACAGACGCCAGGCAAACCTTGACACACTCTCTGACACAGTGACGTAACTGAGTCCTTCCAATTATTAGTCGAACCCACTTCTCAGGCATACTTTTGTGTGGATATTTATTAACCCTTAGCAAGCCGTAGCATAATATTATTACCTCTGACAGGTCGCAACAAGGCCAAGAAGATCTATGAAGAGGAGATGAAACGTGGGATCACAGAACGACTCATCACAAAAGTGACAATGGTGGGTACTGCAGGCAGCGGGAAGTCAACGTCCCTAGAGACACTGACTGGCGAGGAGCCACTGGCAGAGGGAGAACGAGAGAGCACACCACTCCTGAAGAGACCCGTCCAAACCGAGGTGGTCTTTGTGGAAGGGAAGGAGGTGAGGTGGAGGAAGAAGACGGCAGACGAGAAGAAGCAATACATTGCCCGCATCCTGAGAGCCCGTGCCCAGCAAACTAGGCCAGCCAGCCACCCAGCCACCAACTGTAGTCAGAGAGAAACACAACTCCCCCAAAGCAGCAGAGTCAGCATCCTCTCCGCAGATATCCTCACCAGCAGCCTCAGAGGAAGCTAAAGCCTCAGCCACTGCCTCCAGTGCAGCAGCCACGTCCAGTGGTGACCAGTCGCCTGACACGGACCCAGAGGTGTCGGTGGAATCCCTGCTGGAGTCATCCGAGGTGGAGGAGGAGTTCATATCCCTCATCAACATCCCCAGCCACTCCCTGGAGACCGTCTTCACTGAAACATGTGTCTACATCGTGGACAGCGGAGGCCAGCCCGAGTTTGTGGATGCGATGACGGTGTTCCTAGGGCAAACGTCGGCCTGCATTCTGGTCATCGATCTCTCCCAGCCACTGGACCACCGCCCAAACATCGGCTACTACCGAAGGGGAAGAGCCGTGTCCAAGCCCTACCGGTCCACCCGGACAAATGAAGAGAACCTGAAGCTGAGCATGCGGACCATGCACACGTTTGTCTCCAAAACGAAGGGAGATCCCCTCAAGCTGCTCTTCCTTGGCACCCATCGAGACAAGCTGCACAAGTGTCTCTCAGAAACTGTGGGAGACAAGAACAAACGATTGAAAAAGCTGATTCCAAAGAAGTTTGCCAGTCAGGTGATCTGGGACACCACCGAGAAGTTGATCTTTGAGATGAACGCTCTGAAACCAGACCATCTGGACAAGAAGACGGCAGAGCGGATCCGACGCTACGTCTTGGAGCAGTGCAAGCCCATCAAGGTGAAGCTGCCCGTGCGGTGGCTGGCATTTGAAGAGAAGCTGAGGAGCATCGCGGAGAGACTGGGGAGGATGGTGATGAGTCGGCAGGAGTGCTTGAAGGTGGCAGAGTCACTGGGGCTGGCGGAGAACTCTTTCGACCTTGCCTTGGACCACTTCCACGAAGTGAGCCTCATGTTCTATTTCCGCACCATCCTCCCAAAAACCGTGTTCGTCGACCCACAAGTGTTGCTGGACAAGGTCTCGGAGCTGGTGGAGTTCATGTTTGAGCTGCGAGAGCCGGAAGAGGAAGACGAATCCTCTGACGACACAAAACCAGAAGAGAAACACACACCAGATGTTGGAGAGAAGACAACCGAACCACTCGAGACACCATCAGATGCCAGCAATGCTTCCGAGCCAGCGTCAGATTCTGCCGCCGAAAGTGCCGTCAGCTGCAGGAGAGGAGTCGTCAGAGACATCGTCAGACACTGCAGCATCGACCCCCGAGGATCCCTCTCCAGAGAAGGAACTGTCGTCAGGTGAAGCAGCAGAAATGGATCTCCTGCCTCCCGGCTGGCAGGAGTTCATGAAGTTTGGTCGAATCACAAAGAAGTTTCTGGAAGACAGGAGGTTCAGCAGCCACTACAAGGAAGGGGTCTTCAGCTGTGACGATCTGATCCACCTGCTGGAGGAGCTGCTGGTGTTTGCCAGGCTGTGGAACGAGGAGGGTCCAGAGACCTGGTTCATGCCGAGCGTCCTCCGACACATCTCTGCCAGCGACATGGAAAAGAGGTGCTCGTCAGCCGGAGCCCTAGTGGTGGACTTCCCCGACGGTGGTCCCCAGAGTGGCGTCTTCTGCTCCCTCATGTCCCACGTCCTCTCTCCTGAAAACCACAGCCCCTACTCCTGGAAGCTGCATCTCTCGTCGCAGGAGCCTTCGTGTCTGTATCGCGACTGCATCCAGTTCGAGGTCCCCAAGTATCCCGGGTCGGTGACCTTCGTTGACCGCTACGAGTACTTCGAGGTTCACGTGTTCACCTCAAAGACCTGGGAGAAGGAGCTGTGGGGGCACGTGAGAAAGGCTGTCTTTGGTGGGATCGAGACCGTGGACGAGACTCTGGGCTACTCCGACAACACGCCACGGCCGGCAATCGTGTGTCCGAGAACCCACACAGACAGACCACACCCAGCCTACATCCAGGACAAGGAGTGGATCTGCACCAGCGACACCAATCAATTTGGAGACCTGACCTCCCAATTTCTATGGAATCAAACTCCATGTGAGTCATAGTTTGCAGAAATTGAGCATTCGATCATTCTTTTCTGATGATCGTGTATATGATAAAATTTCTGATATTTTGCAGGCGAACCCTCTCAGACCTCCTCAGCCTCAGTAACTACAGGTGATGCTACTACTGCAGAACAAAGGGCACATGGTATGATATGACATACTTCAATGCATTTGTCCTTACATGTACCATTTTGTTTTTGCCTTTGCTTGTATTTTGATTCATGTATGAACTTTGGTTTACAGATGAGTCATCTGTGGAATCCTCGACTGCTGCAACATCAATTCCTTCTGCAAGTGATGCTCCCCTTCCTGCCCCTCCCACTCCAGAGACAAAACCACTTGGTAACCATAATTTTGTGTGTACACGTTGAAGATTTGAACCCCTGGTAAAATTGTCAAAACGACAACTCACCCTTCAGGCATGGCATCTCTCTCGTACACCATGCACAGTGCTGACAACATGGTACCTGCTGAGAGTTGCCCTGTTAGCCCAGTTAGTAGAGCGCTGCAGAGTGTCGTGGATTCGTATCCCACCCAGGGTAGCTCGTCTTTTTTCCTTGAAAAAAAGGGGTGTAGTTGCCTTGTTTGCTTTGCCTTGCTACCTCGTTTTGACACATCTGTACTTCAAATTGCAACATCTCCCTCTCTCGTATGTGCAGGCATCAAAGATCTCTTCAGTGTCTGCTCTGAACTGGTGCGAGTGGCTCACAAGTGGAAGAAGGTGGGACTGGCTCTCAGACTGGACCCTGATCTTCTCGACAGAATTGAGGCAGAGAAAAACGACATCAAAAACAACTTGTTAGACACGCTGAAAGAATGGTTGAAGAAGTCGTATGACACAGAGAGTTTTGGGGATCCGTCATGGAAACTGCTGGTGGATGCAGTGGCTCATCCTTTTGGAGGCGAAGACCGTGCCCTTGCCATGGAGATTGCTGCCAAATACAATGGTAAGTTTAACAGCTTATCCCTTGTGATGAGCTCACAAATACAAATATTGTGTCTGTCTTCTGTACACTTGTTTTCTCTCTCTCTCTTCCACAGTGCCACCTCCACAATAGCTGAACCAACCTCCATATTGAACATACCGGTATCTTCACACATTATTATTGGCTGGCAAAGCGAGCCTACACCTTGTCATTTATATCATATCCAATTTTGTCCCACTGAAGAATGTGAATGCAGTGAAACATCATGTGCAGCAGTTGCGAGGTCACATTCTAATAGACTTACTTGTGTTATCTCGCCAGAAAGCTCGTTCCTAAAGTTTGACTTCACCTCAGCTCTTGAAAACCTAGTTGTAAAAAACACTACCATTGGAATTTCCAGAAACCCCATCAGTCTAAAGTTTGCTGTGTTCCAATAACAAAAGTGTGAGGTACAGGGTACTTGTATAAACAGTTTACACAATGACTTCCTGGGCTCAGGTGAACACAAAATAGACCCTTTCCCACGTGACCTTTTGTGTGCTGTTACAATAGCTGGAACCTTCTTAGGTCTAATGTGGCAACAGCAAACACAAACCTCATCACTGTGCTGCAGAAATCTCCACTCTCTCATACTCATGGCAGCTAATCATAATAGACTTGCTCATTACTGTAAAACGCAGGCTACATCTCGACCATGTATAATTATAGGTGGCGCCTTATTGCTCACTCTCAAATTGAGAAAATAAAATTTTTGAGAGACGAGGCAACATACAACAAATACAGGTGACAATTGGATCAGACAAACGGAGAGAAAAGGCAACACACAAACACCGCTGCATAGAGAAACACACATTCACACACAGACTGTAAATTATGACACTGAGACAAAGAGTTTGGGTGTGAATCTTGAGGCACAGTGAGTAGTGCCTGATGTGAGGATCCAGGATAGAGAGAGTGGGGGGCAGCCCCTTGCTTGATGAAACGTAACGACAGAAGAAAGAAGAGTGTTTTGGCTACAACAGGGTCGTGGAGAGTTTGACCTCTTCTTTCTTGGGGTGGTAGTGGGAGGTGGAGCGGGTCAGCTCAGAGCTGCTCATAGTCTTGTGTTTGTGCTGTCGAGGGAGAGTGGTGGAGCGTCTGGCCGGGAGCCCGGGGCCCTCCGACGAGGGAGACATGGCTCTCTGCAGCAGGGGTGAGGTGTGCGGGGAAGGGTGCTTCGGTGTGGGCAGCTCGCAGGCACTCTGGGACTTCTTGTGCATGACCAGCTGGGACTCTGTGACGCTGTGCCGCTCCAGTCTCTTGGTGTAGATGGGGGGAGAGTTGGGGGGCGTGGTGAAGGAGGTGGAGCTCAGGTTCTGCACGGAGCCGGGAGGGGAGGAGTTTGGGGTGATGATCTGTGCGAGGGAGACCGGGGAGGTGCTGCGAGCCAGAGGGGACACCGGGGTGGGTCGCCTTCGTGGAGTCATCTTGGACACAAGCTTCTGCTTGAAGGACTCGGTCCTGGCTGGAGACGAGGAGTGTTTTGGTGAGGGTGTGCTGCTGGAGGAGTGGCCAGAGCTGTCCACTCCTTTCCTGTCCCTCCCTCGCATGCGACTGATGAACGACTTCTTCTTTATTCGACCGCTCCCGCTCGAGCGGTGGCGGAAGAGCTTCCCACTCGATGACCCAGTGTCGGCAGCCTCTTCTTCTTGTCCTTGCGAATGCTGGTGTCCTCAAGAGGAATGGTGTTGATGTACAAGAAAGAATTGTGTTTGTCGATCATGAGTTTCAGGACTTGTATGTGGTGGAGTCCGATGACCGACTGACCGTTGATGTGCGTCACCAGGCAACCTTTCCTCAGACCTGCCTCCCACGCCGGACCTTTCTTGTCCACTTTCTGCAGGAAACATGTACAAAGGGAGAGTTTGTCACGTTTCATGACACGTATGTATACAGTACAATGTAAAGGAGTCTGCAGCATGCAATACCATACCTCAATGATGTGGTGTATTCTGTAGTCGTCAGTCTGTCCGATGTAGACTCGAATGGCCTTGAGGATCATGCCGTAGCCACTGGGACCTCTCTTGATTGCGTATGTACTGGTGACCATCTGGGAGTGCCGCGGGCTGCTGAGAGGACTGGCCTCGGCCACGCTGCTGCTGGACCCACTGTCCTGAACTCCCGCCACCACTCCTGAGAGAGAGAGGCAAGGCAACACAAAATTGAGGTTAGCAAGGCTTTAGGGAGACGGTAGGCTAGGGTCTGATGACATTGAAGGACGAAAGGAGTGTGTGCTTTTTTACCATACAAAGCAGAACCCCTCTAATTGGGACACGACAGAAGGGGTCATTAACCCAATCAAATCACTGGATACTAACTGTGGAAAGGTGGGTGGCCTAAATTTATCGTACTTTTAGCGAGGATGTAAGAGTAAGGACAGGCCAACGAACAAGCACCAGCTATCAGACCATGTCTGGAGAGTGCAGTGCTCATGGGTAAGCAGTTCATAAACCACACAGACAGAGAATGATGCTAGAAATCTAAGCAAGGCTCTAACACCTTAGATCAGAGGTAAGGTAGACACCTAATATCAAAGCAGCCCGCTGATATGGGGAAAAGCACGGGCCACTTCATAACTTGCCGAATGGCTTAACTGTTACACATGCTGCAAAAGAAGGGTAACTCTCAGTGCATGAACACCATCTAGACTAGTGTATTGAGGCCACACCCACCAGGAGTGGGTGGACACACAGTGATGTCAGCGATGGAGATCTGAGAGATGTCGTCACCGAGGCCACAACCCCTCTGGGAGAGACACGAGGCAGCCGTGTACGAGTGGGTGGTGATGGAGGGAGGGGGAGAGGTGGGCATCTGTTGGAGTGGCTCTGGGGTCTTCTCTCCCTCGTCCAACATTGGCTCCTCATCACTCACCTGCAGTAACACATGATGACAGAGAATTATATAACGCACGGCCGAGAGTACTTCTCAGGCTAACACAGGAGATAGGTTACTGTATGTGCAGTGGCAGTGCCCATCACCACATTGAGACGACTAGGTTAGGCTCAGTTTGCTAGCCTAGCAACGTGTGCACACACACCTCATCAATTGTGGTGACAATGTTGTCCTCTTCTTCTCCCTCTGGTGCAGCGTCTCCTGCCCTCTCCCTGCCACCACCACCAGTAGTTGTACTAGTGTTGGCAACACCAGTGGCAGTCCGGAGGATCTTGACAGTCTCGGCCGCCGTCGGCTGGCCAGAGGACGGCACTACCTCCTCACTGCCCACCGGAGTGGGTGTGGTCGACGATGACCCACTCAGAACTGGGGGTTGGAAGGAGACAACACTTGTTTCACCTGCTGCATTACACAATATACACAGTTGTGGTCTAAAGAAGTCTTTGTGTTCATGTGTCAGGTATTCCTTGACTCAACTGAACAGAGAACTGTAGTATACACTTGTAGTCTAAAGGAGACGTCAAGCATTTGTGAGCTTTTTCTTGACTCAACCGAACACAGAACACAACTTCAGTTGAGCAGACAAAAAGCCCATCTTATAATATGGCATCGCCACTGACCATCGCACACACCACAGAGGAAAGATAGTGTGCCAGAATCACACACAATGCCTCCTCGCCTAGTGGAGATCTCTTGTTTACTCACCAGAGATTCCAGAGTCTCTGTGTTCGTGTTTGGGGCCTTCTCCAGACAGAATGGGAACCATTTTACTCTTCAGGAGCTGCTGGTGCTGGTGTTGGCTGGGGTCTGTCTCCTCACACAGAGAGCTCTGCAGTTCCTCCATCATCTGGCAGAACCGGGGTGCCACCTGGCTGAAGTTGGCAAACGACTGATGGAGAGGGTCGTTGTTGGCGTCAACTCCATCTTCTTCATCATCGTCGCTGACAAACTCGTGGGTATAGCGGTCATCTCGACCTGAGAGAGGAGGAGGAGAAGGAAGGTGAAAGAGAGAGAGGGCAGTGAGTAAGAAGTGTACGTAAGAAGAAAGAAAGAGATAAACGAAAGAAAAGTGTGAACAAGGAATTAGATGGGTGCTAGGGAACATGCAGTAGGGAGTGCAGTGTACTGTACAATAGTAGAAGTAGTGAGAGAGACAAAAAACAGGATATAAGACGAAACAATGGAAATGTGGCAGTACATAAGGGCTAAATCAATTAGGTTTCCATTGAACCTTTAACACTCCCATACTCTCTTTAAAATAAGACATAGCAAGTAAAGAGTTGCAGTGACTGACTGTCAAAGTAAGAGGTGTCCTCCTCTCCCTTGAGCTGGGGAATGAAGAACTCTGCTTTCTCTCTCAGCAGATTCTGCCAGTCCACTTCCTCAAAGAATGGATGATCTCTCACACCAGTATCACCTGGACGAGAGAGAGGGAGGGAGGGAGGGAGGGAGGGAGGGAGGGTGCAATAATAACAGAATCACTTAGTGAGCTAAGAGTTATAAAGATTGATCGTAAGTATAATTATGTTTTTGGCGATATCAACGCTCATTACACATCGCTTGAGTACGGAATTCTATTTTCTGCACCTATTCTTATCCAATCCCTCTTTAATCTCTATCTCGCCGTCCCCAACCCACTAATCTCTAATAAGGGTATCGACGATTTGCCTTTGTATTTTTTGTAGGTACAGCGGTGGAAGAAGAGACAAGCCAACCATCCTTAATACGTTGGCTATTGTTGGAGTATGGAATAGTAATGTACTCTTGTCTTTCTGCAACTATCCTTTTCTAGCCTCACCAATCCCTCTTTCAGCCCTACGTGTATTTCGCTTTCCCCAGGGTGACAACAATTTTGCATTTTTGTTTGGAAAATCAGTGGAAGAAGAGACAAGCCAACCATCCTCAATACTTTGACTATTGTTGGAGTATGGAATAGTAACATACTTAGACTTTCTGCAACTATCCTCATCTAGCTTTACCAATCCCTCTCAACCTCCATTTTGCCGGCCTCCTCCTCCAAACTCTAATAAGGGTGTCAATGACTTTGCATCTTTTGTCTCAAAGTCTTCTCAGCGGTTACAATGACATGGAGCCAAAGAGCTTTGCTGCACAAAACTTCAGGCTAAGAAGACACCGCTGTAAAGTAAACAGCTATGTACCACCGCAAGCTTTAGCTATCAGGACTGTCTGTCTGCTGTAGAGCAGTGTAGTGGAATTAGTCTTCAGTTCTAAACATCCGAGAGTGAAATTTATCTCAAGTTATGTTGCAAGAGTGCCTGTTGAAGTAGTGCCTGTTCCAAAATCTGCATAATTCATGCATACCATGCATACCTGTCATGTTGTGCCCTTTTGAGAAGTTGTTTGTTCTCGCAGACCCAATCACAGGAGGGGACCCTGGAAACGAGCCAGTAATTGATGTGCCGCAGCCAGGTCTGGCGACACAACATGTTTACCGCTGGATTATGATACTTCTTGATCTGAATGAGACCCCACCAGGCTTGGAGCCAGGACCCGTCGCCATACACGAACCATTCACACAGACCAAATGCCAACGAACAACACCACAAATGAGACACCTCTAGCCTTTTGTTAACATGCAAATCTGACACATTTCATCGCTGTGTTATACTACATGGACCTATAGTAACCAGCCACCTGTTGCCTTCGCAGCATTAGGAAGGGAGGAACTGGTTAGCGTCCAATTTGTCTCGCTCTTAATTGGAGTTAACCAGAGGCCTGTTGTTGACGACCCTGCGTCCAAGAACACCCCTCCACACTGAGACAGATTGAGTGTTATTGGGTTAGCAGAGAATGGGCTAATATGGGAGCACGGTAGGAGGAAGAGTAGCCGCAGTGACTGAGTATAATGCTGAGCTGTGTGGTATGTTTGGAGAGGGAGGTTGAATTGAGCTCTGGCAGGAGCCTGAGTAACACTGCCATGTGCTGCCCATGGTAAACAGGCTGTTTGTTGGGCAACCAACCGACCAAGTTATGCTACATACACAACAACAACAACAGACTCGTCCCAACACAGTGAATGCATATAACTACAAGACAACCGTACACATTCTGAGAAGTAGCATACTCATATGTCATCCCATTGTAACTGGGTTCAACCACAGATAAGTGTAAGTCTTCTACATTCAATTCACAAGGTTCTCATTCTTAGCCCTGCTGATTCTAACAGTCCCGTCCTAATATACATTGTTGCACAATGTTTATACAGCTATATAACTCCCCATGTAGAGTGGGACAACAAGCCTCTCCATCAAAACAGGACAAACATTAATGGTACATAGTTTAGTACGCAGTCATGTGTCAAAACATGTTTACAGTAACTTTCATTATAGTCATTACTTGCTCGGGGGGCAGTTTACCCACGCAACCTGCACATGCGTAAAAAGAGGTGCATATCATTGGAGTAGATAGTAAGTTAAGCACGTCATTCGTTGAAATCTACGCGTGTTAGAAGTCCTTCACGTAGCATCCTCATTGTGGTTGGAACGCTACAATGCAAGGGCCCTCCGGCTACATTTCAGGGAATCGCTGTCTAACTATTACACAGAAACAGTGAGAGAAGGTGCCCACCTCCCCTGGCGGCAGAGCCCAGTCTTGTCTGGGGGTCGTGACACAGCAGATGCTCCACAATATTCTTGGCAATGTCAGGGACCTCCTCGTCTGGCTCCGAGGGCTCCGGCCAGCAGATGACCAGGTTCTCTGTGGATGAGGGCAAGGAGACAGATGGACTTAGTGGCAACTATAAGTGCAAAATGGACACTGAAAACTCATGTAAATCGTTTCGAACGTCGCTTCGCTCACCAAAAAATAACGTGTGTGCCGCTAATGTTTGCGCATGCGTTGTGGTGCAGAGTCAGACGTTACATTTGGAAAATGTGCGCAATTCAAGACGACTAGGTGGGCTTGCTTCACTTGCCAATATACATACAGCAAAGAGAAAAGGATTAGGAAGGCTTTTTTTTGGTCCCACCATCTACCCACCATCAGTGATCTCCTCAAAGAGCTGCTGGACGGTGGTGCTGCAGAATGGGGTAGCCCCTATAATCATCTCGTACAAAATGACTCCCATAGACCACCAGTCCACAGCGTAGCCGTATCCCTGGCCCAGGATGACCTCGGGGGCTATGTAGTCTGGCGTACCATACACCTCCGGATCATGGAACTTGTTTTCGTGTGACTCTATCACATGTGCAGTGTCTGGAGTTTGGAGAGAGGGAGAGGGAGGAGGAGGGAGTGAATAGGGAGAGGGAGGAGGAGGGAGTGAATAGGGGGAGGGGAGGAGGGGGTGAGGAGGAGGAGGGATGGAGGAGGGAGAGAAACCAGAGAAGAGGTAGAGGTGAAGGGAAGGAGACGAGAAAGGAATGAAGGGGAGTGCCACAAGTGAGTGAGTATGATAATGCAACCAGTAGCTCAAATCTGCCACAGCTGGCCACACTTAATATATCAGAGAGCACAATTTAAGCTTGTTCCCCCAAGAGGCCAATTACACCGCCACTCCAACAAAGCATGCAACGTCCAATAATCTACAAATCGTCAATCAGAAATACATTTGAAGTCACCCACATGATAATCACACTGCCTATAAGCAAAACAATTACATACGTAAAGGGATAACTGTGAGTGGAGAGTGTGTTACAGGCTTACAGTTGACAAGGCCAATCTTGGACAGTCCAAAGTCAGTCAGCTTGATGTGGCCTTCAGACGTAATGAGTAGACTGTAGATGAGAGATGGGAGAGAGATAGGGAGGGAGATAGGGAGGGAGGGAGGGAGGGAGAAAAATGAATTGCTTTTAGTCTGAGAGGAAAAGAATCTTAATACTGCTTCAACCAAAAAAACTACACCAAGATACACAAATCCAGGCTTCACCAGATGACTTCAGCCTGGACACTGACCACACGGCACACAGCCATTACCCCCACAAGCTTCCTCTATACCCATCGAATACCCAGCCTGTATGCCCCATTCGCTAATAGGTGGGGAGTTTCTGGGAGCTACACACAACTCACTTGTCGGGTTTTAGGTCTCTGTGGATGATGCCGTAGTTGTGGATGTACTCCAGAGCCAGGACAGTCTCGGCGAAGTAGACGGTGGCCATCTCCAGAGGGAGGGCACCCACGTTCTTCAAGAGCGACGCCACATCTCCACCCTCCACGTACTCCATCACCATGTACAGATGGTTCTGAGGACGGGGGGAAGAAGAGGACTTATGGAGGGCTACTGGATAGAGAATCGCGAATCGTTTATACTAACTATCAACTTTACAAGAATAATACTAGAACAAAGAGCGTACTTATAGTTGTGAGTGAAATCAGCAGTGTTTGTGAATCATCATGTCATATTAATGACTCCACCCACTGTCTTGTGTATGCTCAAGACTTGACTATACCACATAAGCTATAAAACCAGCTCTCTGAAGCTACACTGCTCCTCCAGACAGGCACTTAAAATCACCAGCTTACTGACATACTATACTGTATGTATGCATCATGCACCATACATCATACACCATACATACATACTGTACATACCTTGGTTTGGAAAGTACACCAAAGTCCGACTACGAAAGGGTTCTCGGCAAACGTGAGGATGTCCCTCTCGTAGAACACCTGCTCCACCTGTTTCTTCATGACCATACGGTGCTTGCTTATCTTCTTCATTGCAAACCTCTTTCGTGTGGCCTTGTGTCTTACCAAGTAGACAGCACTGGAGAGAGGAATAGAGAAGGAAGGAGGGAGGAGGAGAGGAGGAGAGAGAGAGAGAGAGAAAAGGGAGAGAGAGGAGGAGGAGAGAGAAAAGGGAGGGAGAGGAGGGGGAGGAAAAGGAAAGGAAGGAGAACTGACCAACCTAACCAAAACTCACTTATGTTTGCACACATGAAACGGGGTTGCTGCTTTCTAAGATTCTACAACAATTTACTCTCTTCCCACTTCCTCCATTCAGCGGCATTCCCTCCTCCTGCCTTTCCGCGTCGTTCAGACACCAGTCTCACCTGTAGGCTCCGTTGCTGATGAGTTTGACAATCTGGAAGTCGTCCTTGTTGAGGTGTTTCTGCTCCTCCCTCTCTCCCAGCCCCGCCTCTTTCAGATACTGTGCTCTCTTCTTCTTCTCTTCTCTCTGGTCTGCAAGTCAATGAAGGACGCTGGAGTCATATGAGCTAAGACTGTGGAGTGTAATGGATTGAATCCCACCCAGGGCAGCTAAGTGTTGCCCTGTGTGTGTGTGTGTGTTGTTTTGTCTTGAGACTTTGTTGTTGACACGGACAAAACAATGAACGCAGTGCATTTTTGGCAAGAACGTGGAGTCAGTTGCATCCCATAATAATTCAAACCGGAGGGTAGGCCCACTTCCAAGTAAGTTTCATGTGCAGCAGTACAACAAAACGATTGGAGTCCATGTGCTGCATGGGTGAATTACAACAATTTGTCTGCCTTTCGCCTCCTGTTGAATCATCCAAACCCATACTCCTGTAGCCAGCAATCAGCAAATAATGGTTTGATTGCAGGCAATTGCATCTCCACAATTGCTAACTGCTCCTTTGCTAACTGGCAGAAGAAACATGTCTACCAGTCAAATACCCATCTAAAAACAGCCTCTTCGAACATTGCCAGCCGTGACCATCCTTGGACCTCGAGGTATTGTAGAGCAGCAGGGTTCCTAGCCTTCTGTGACAGTCCCCAGCTTAGTTAAAACCTACTCTACATAGCTCTCATATTATACTAATGGTAAAATTCCTACAGCAAGTAACCTTACTATCCTCCCCTATACATACTACCAGGCTGCAGCCTATAGTTAAAACTCTCCCTAGCTCTCATGGGAACAAGCAACAATTCCTGGAGCATTCCCTGGCCCTCTATATGCGCAGATCTCATGCTAACACCTAACAATTCCCAGAGAGCAGCAATACATTCCCTCCACTTTCTTCTAGTGGTGTTTCAAACCCCCAATTCTATCTAGTGAATTCTCTATTACATCCTCAATAAGTTGCATTACTTCAAGGAAGGGGAAGTATGAAGGGGGGATAAAAAGAAGGTAACATCCCTGTTTTACCTAAAACCCTGCCATAGTCTTTCTCTAGTAACAGATTCCCAGGCTACATTTTCTCCGCCTTCTTCCCTGCCCCAATCCTCCAGTCAGCAGGCGGCGCTCTCATAGTAAGTCGACAGAAAACAGATATCGTTTACCAGTTTACTCTGACGCAGTTAACCTCCCGCATTCCTATCTCCTTAGCAGTCAAGTACCAATGGGACGGTCGCTAGGAGACGACCAATCGGAATGAACGGGAGTGATTTTAATGGCGGTGGGATTGGATGATTCAGTTCAACAGCTGTTACACTCAGTAAAAGACACACACAGGCAATCTACGACACATTGCATTAGTAAAATGCCGGAGCCTTGGTATGTGCATGGAGCAAAACACGAGGTTCATCTCATCACACCAGTGAGTGTACACACATACTATAAGGCACCATTCAATATCCTCCACCAGCTTGACCTATGTCGAATCTACAATACATACATCTACATGGTTTGAGGGATCTTAGAACATGCAACCGAGAATCAGGCAAGCACACTCACCCACAAACTGCACTAATTATTAAGTCTTTGCTCGTACACTACACACAAGAAGCATAATATGCAGGATTGGTGCAGTTTAGTTGGAGGAGCGGCACTGCCCCAGAGGCACACAGTATGACAAGGGGGAGCCCCCGTTATAATTACATACCTTCGTCATCAGCCTCGAGGGAGATCTGGAGTCTGTTGAGAATGTAAGGCATGTGGGAGGACGACATGAAATTGAGGACCACCCCTCGGTCAGCGTCCTGCGTCGACTCGTTGAGGGTGGAGCTAAACTCCTGCGGGTCAAACTCCTGTCATTGAGAAACAATAATAAGGTTCAGTAAAGATACACAGTCAACTATAGATCACACATTGGACAGATATTTAACGGATCAGTAGATCACTAATAGACAGATCTTAATTAATCAGTAATAGACAGTTCTAAAGGATCGAGATACACGAAGACTCACACATGCTGACATTTATACACAGACATATGCAGTAAGCTGGAGGACTATGTAGCACTCTATATCGTTTGGCAGAGTCCAAACACGGCTGTACTATATACTAAATGCTACTCTAAGGCCGGTGTCATTGCAATGCAGCACAGCTTTAAGGATGAATAGACTTCATTTCTATTCCAACGTACTGTTTGTTGTATCACATTGCTAGCTAGCGGAAGCACATAGAAAATGTTTAAGATGCAAAAATGACACACTGTGAGCAACAGCATCAATATTGTGAACTTGTCATGAAGTGTCTTCTAATAGAGGAAGGCAGCACTCACCATGATCTCAAGGAGGCGGGCCACTCTCATGATAATGACCAGGAGCTTCCTCACTAGCAGCTTGAGCTGCTCTGGGACCATCTTTGAGCTGGTCCGATCAGTCACCTTTGAGTTGCAGCAGGAGGGGAGAGAGGGAGAGGGGGAGAGGGGAGAGGGGAGAGGTGAGAGAGAGAGATGAGACGAATAAATCGTCTGAAGCTTCATACAGTATAGAGCTACATTTCAACCGTGTTTTCCTTTCACCAAAAACACACAATTAACTGTGAATGCCTTTGTATGGAGCATGTGCTGTAACAATACAGTGGGCCAGTGTGAGATGTTGACTGTTTTCCTTTCACCAAAAACATGTGAATGCCTTTGTATGGAGCATGTGCTGTAAAACTACATAATGGACATGAATTCTGGACAAAGAGTGGGCCAGTGTGAGATGTTGACTGTTTCGCGTGCTAGCCTCTCCCTCCAGCTTCACACACCCTTTCACCTTACACGAGTACACAATTAGCCAAGGAATCCCAGGAATGTCTCGCTCTCTCAACAACAGACAACAAGAGCAGGGGAATGCGGCTAACGAGCCCCAATCGGGTCAATGGAATGCGACTGGAAAATTCCGGTCCAAATGATATTGGAGTACGGTATGCCAAACTAGCGGCACACTCAATGTGTGTGTACCTCGCGCTTGCTGCAGCCCACAGCAGTAGGCAAAACAAAAAAACCATCAGGTTTTCTCCATTCCAGCGTAATTTGGAGAAATTCTGCGGGACATTAATGCAGTCGTTTCGTGTGTGGCGCCAGCAAAACCAGCAGAGCAGCAGTAAACAGCGTATCATACGAGACTAGTAGCATTGGGAGTATCACCCTTTCGTTACAACTAATGGTGCAACATGTATATCCATAGACAGTAGCTATTCAGTAGCTAGTATTCTAGGCATCTCCTCCTCATTACTATACTATTGGGTGTGTGCAGCAGACCATAGCACCACAACAACAACGAAGAGTAAGAGAAGAAGAAAATTGCAGGTAATTATTCCTGGATCAGGTTCCATCCTCCTTGTAAGGCAATAGCACCAACAATGGGTGTCTTGTGGCCTATTACACACTCTCTCTTGTTTCAAACACTCACGGCCAATTTCTCTCCTTCCGTGATCTTTCTCAAACTCTCTCTCCCCCTGTCTCTTCTAAACCTTGTCTCTCTCTCTCTGTCTAATCTCCTTCTCTCTCTTTTTCTCCCACTCTCCTCACCCTCCGCCTCAAGCCTCTTCGCCCACCTCCCTCCTCACAAGCAATGGGTGGGACATTTCGGCCTACTTTCTTTCAATTTTGTGTCTCTGTTTCATCATGTCATCCCACATTCGACCAACACCATACACAAACACACACACACATATATGTACACACCACTGCTGTTATGCCTCACCTCAACCAGTGTTCCCTCCAGATTGCTGCACATGGAGATGACCTGGTCTTTGGACAGAGCGTTCTCCCTGCTCTTCTCGAGGGCGTCTCGAGCACACTCCAGGATCTGGTGGCGGCCAAAGTTGATGTTGGAGTCTGAGAACTGGAGATTGCTCTCCGAGTACTTGGTCAGAAACTCCTGTTCAGGTGAACCAGTGTGGCAGTGGTGGGGAAGGAGATAAGTATACAGCATGTAGGGATATATACAACAAGGTGGCACCTTGTACATACTGTACTTAACATCTGTAACTCACAGCGTACCGCAAAAGCCAGTATATATACGTAATTGGACGTGGTTTAGGGATGAATGAATGAAATTTGTATTTACACCAGCACGGTACACAGTAGGAGCAAAAGTGACAAAGGAGAATACAAAGTGTAGACTGCTGATGTACACAACACTGACGTGGGAGTCATCGTTACCTGTAGTTTCTCCTCCATCTCCTCCTTTGCCTTGGGGTACTTCTGTTTGAAGATGTTGAGTGTTGCGTCTTGATCCAGAAGTATCCCACGAGGGGACCGCTTGGGACTACAGACAGACAGACAGACAGACACACAACAGAGGGATGGAGCGAGAAAGAAGAAGAGAGGGGGAAAAAGAGGCATTGACTTTGTGATCCCACTAAAATGAATGGAGCGTCATTTTAGCATACTAGCTGAAAATAATGTAGGTAAGAACGTAAGAAAGGGAAAACGAATGTCAAAAAAGGTTCACACCATTACACCAGAGACTAGGACGCAGGTGTGTTTGAAACGAACACTAGAGATTCTACATACTTATTATGGCTTATAGACTTGGTGCTAGCAACATATACAGAGAGTGTATACAGGCTGAGTTGAGATCAATCTAAGAGGTCCGTCCATGCCAGTTCTTGTGTTGAAATGAATCGAGAAAGTATTTCGTGTGCTGAAACGAGAAAAGTGTATGTAGAGGAAGAGGGAGTGGTGTTAACCTGAGGCTGCGTGTCCGTGGTCGATGCAGGGGCACTCTGTCCTCGTCAGTGATGATGACCGACGATCCACTGCTGTCAGACCTCAGGTGGCGACTCAGGATGCGGAAATCGTCCATTGTGGGTGTGGTTGGGAGCTGAGGAGGAGGAGGAGGGGAGGACACTCATATACAGCATCGTCTGGTAATGCCGCATGTACACTTACTTGATGAATCTGCTCTGTTGATGGAAACGTCTGCAGAATGAAGAGTTTGTATATATTTACCTGTACTTCATATTGTAATTATGAATTATTGTATTATGTAGTGTATGACAAGTGAGAATGAGATACGTGTTTACTTATCTTACCGAGAGGGATTGGGGTGAGTCGGTGTACCCCGTGGTGTACCCCGAAGAGGCCGCCGACACCACAGACCATCGTCTGCCACTCCGGTCCATCTCTGACCTATAGGCCCAAAGGTCATAGTACACCACCACAACAAACTAACTACGTATTAGAAACACCAGTAGCTAAACAATAAAATAACTTGATTACATGTCGTTTTCCCACCAGTTTACCAGTGCACTGTTCATGTAATGTATTGTTCAGGATTACGCAATAACGGTGTGAGCACACATGTAAGTATGCCCGTTTATGGATATCATAGGAATAGGTCACTCTCATTTATCATCTTCCCCAGACTCACACCTTAATTTAAAAGTTTGCTGGACGTTACAGTAGTCACAGTATCGCTTATCCCTATAATTGGACACTCACAACTATCGCTTATCCCTATAACTGAACACTCACAACTATCCTTATCCCTATAACTGAACACTCACAACTATCCTTATGCCTATAATTACATGTCCTTGTGTTTAGTCTATGCCTCCAAGAAGCAGTTCTTATACGACAAAAATCCAATAAACCAGCTCCAATATGAGAGCCACCCAATTTTCAATCTATGGCAAGGTGCACCCACAACCCACTAAAGTCGCCAAGTGTATTGCATACACAATGGAATCTCCATTGGGATATGGACAGCTGTATAATTATCTGTATGCAGAGGACAGGAGACAAACTGTTACCCCAAACACCTTTGAAGACCTTTGAAGTTGATGCTAAGGAAACCTAGGGCCAGGCTGTTGGCATATACCAAAAATAGACTACTATATATAGACACATTCCAACTCCCAACTTGTACACAGGAGTCTCGGCTATATACACAGCTATCACACTACCATTCTCTGCCACCATATATCCACTACACCGTTCAGTGTATGGTTGCAGTGTTTACTGCAGTGGCGGGTACTCCATAAAGGACCAGGTAGGATGCAGCGAGCCACCACAACTATACCACTGTAGTGCACACGAGTAGGCTGCCTGCATACAAAGTGACAGGGCTCCATGCAGCCAACCAACACAGTATTCAGTAAGGGTTGGCTGGTAGTAGTGGTTGCTACATACGCATACTGACTTCTTGAGAGAGTCCAGGGAGGTAGTAAGGGAGAGGAGAGAGAGGGAGAGGGAGCGAGGTAGGTGAGTCATCTTGGTTCAATCACGATTTCCTGTCTTTTATTGGCTCAATGGAAGCAATCCAAACTTCCTACCAGCTCTAGGCTACAGTACAATCCTTAAGTCCGACACCCACTTGTGATCTCCAACTATATAACCTAGCCCTACTGGATGCCAAGCACTTTGCAATAGACTATAGAGTTTGTAGTAATCAAGAGTCCGTTCTATGAGCAGTTGAATGGAGCGTGTTAACCACTGTTCTCCGTCTCTACAGACGAGTTTCTATATAGTTTGTATATAGCACACACTTCAAATAGACTTTAAGAAAGGCACACTATACTCGGAAATACACCGAAGTATGCACAACACTACACACACTAGTAGATCTAAGCTCTTAGTTTCGACTGCACGTTAACTCTAGGTCAATACGTAGCTCCTCTGGGAATCACAGTTCTGGTGACTGGTGGCCGCAAACTACAAAGTGTGCGTCGAGCCTTCTCAATAGCAGAGGTCCATTCAGAGCCCCAGTTGTCACATTCTGGCCCACTGTTCAACGGAACAAGAGCTATATATGCAAGCAAGCACAAGCAAGCCAGCAGAGGTGGAAAAACAAGGGCGTTAAAGTGGAGGCAAGAAATCAGAGGTTGACAAACAGTTGGGAGGGGGAGAAGGTATATACGTGTGTACATACTGTATACAGTGTAGGAGCAGGAGAGGGAGGGAAATGTGGAGAGAGGCCAAGAGAACATTGCAAACACAAAACTAAAAGTTAATGTCGTTGTGTACAAACAGTGGGATTACTGGTCCCCCACACCACTATATATACATGTGTCTGTTCCTACAGGCCCTGGCATCTTAACCTGTAGTTCTACATGCATACATACACACGGGCAGACAAGCAGGTGCACACTAAGACTGACGGCTGGTAAAATATACCAATGTAAACACCTCTGCACATGATTAATCAAAGGCTCTGTAAATCTATACAAGGCCAGAATCGTTGGTGATAATCGAAGCGTCTCTAACACCAAACTCTGTCACCGAACCAGTTGGCTAGCAGGGTCGAATAGCAACAGCAACACGACCCAGTAAACAATCACACCTCTCCGTAACCGATCACCCCAACACACACTTACTCCTTTCTATTGGCCTATTCACATTCCCACGCACAGCGATATCTTCTCCTAACACTCCTTGCTTCCTTGCTGATACTCTATATAGTAATACAAGTCTTCCATTTCTCTGATACTCTATAATTATTATACTGTTGACAGGTCTTCCACAATTCTCACGGTGTTGGGGCTAACCCGAGAGCACTTGAAAACCTATTTCCTCTGCTCAGTGAGATACATTGTACAAAGAGTAAACAGATATTGCAAAAGAAAGCACGTGAAATTGAGATAAAATAAACACTCGCAATAGAGTTCCGTGTACGTGACACTTGGCAGAACAAACAACGTGCGGTACTGACAAAAGGGAAGTATTTCTTGTGCGTGGCTGTTTGCCTGCTAGGAGCAGAGGAGGAGTAGTCTGTGTTTTGGAAAAACAGGAGATGGGAGAAAACGGAACAAAACGACCTCAGGAACTTTCTGTTTTCACTCTCTGCAAAACAACTGGTGTTTGGCAGCAGTAACAGAGCCATTTAGGTCTTCATGTGAATAAGAAAGTTGTAAACAGCATAAAGACGGTCTGGATGCTTGTTTATGCTCATGTCAGAGTGCAACAAGAGCAGAAACAAACAAAGGGGTAGCTAGCTGTTTGTATGCACCTTCTAGAGAGTTGAAATCTCTCGAAGTTTGAAGTGGATGGTGACCAGGTCTTTGGACTTGCGGTTCCTGCAAAGCAAGATATCACACTTACACCCTTGACCCCGACCACCGTACTCCCAATAAGCATACGGCAAAACATGAAACAATATTCCTTCGGTGAGGAGAGAAAGGAGAGAGTGGGCCGAGAAGAAAACATACAGTGAGTCCCCTGAAAAAACCTGAGACAGCTGAAGTGGCCTTTATTCAGTAACGTCCCATATACACTATGGGGTATCATTGTAGGCTTGGTAATGTGGCAACACCAGGTGTCCCTTATAAGGGAGGTTCTTTAATTGAAGGGTCTTGTTTCGGAGGTTTACTGGTGTAGTTACCTGGAGCCTCTCCAGGGGAGGGTGAGGATATTCTTGGAGAACTGAAGTTGGGAGACTTGGGGTAGTTGAGGCTCTGTGCTCTGGTCGGCAACTTGCAGTTCCTACATACATACATACATACATGTACATATACAGTAGTGAACAGCAACAATTCCCAACAGCATAGTGCTATTGTGTGGAAACATGTCAACTGAAAGCAGATTGCATCACTGGATTTTGGCTCACTTGAAGGAATCTCTCTTGAACTCCAGCTCCATCTCATCCTCGAAACTGTCCTCGGGACTCATCAGCTCCTGGCAGGGACGAGAACACACTCTCTACCACACACTACACCACTTCCCCAGGGTCAATATTCCTTCATCGACCCACCTAGACTCCCACACAACTAAACACACTCTCCCTGCTACCCTTTATCTCCCTCCATTCTTCTACACCCACACTTCTGGAGAATGCAGGCCTTTGAGTTTAGAAAGGAAAACCGAGTTTGCGAATCCACTCTTTAAGCTTTCTCACTGCCTCTTTTACCTTTTACCTCTATCTCCCTTCCCTTTCTATCTTTTCCCCTCCCCCCTCTCTCTGCTCACCAGGTCAGGATCAGACTTCCCCATCTGTCTACTCTCCTTCTTGTAGCGCAGGAGATTAGGTTTCTGGTGGGGGGCTACGGGTTGCCGTCTCCTAATGGAGGTCTCCTTGTTCCCTCGTGTGGTGACTCCCAGGGAGCGGACGGGCGAGCCTCGAGATGGGGACAACATGAGGCCTGAGGAGGATCGCGAGTGGAGAGGAGATTGCGGGAAGAGGTGAAAATTTGGCGGGAGGGTCTTGTTCAGTTCATCATTGTCAGAGAACTGTTGAGAGAGGGGGTGTGAGAGAAGGAGAGCAAAAGAGGGAGAGAGGGAAGAGAGGGGAGAGAGGGGGAGAGAGGGGGAGAGAGGGGGAGAGAGGGGGAGAGAGGGAGAGGCAAATGTAAAACATGCTCCAGTGATTACATTTCCTAGTGTATATACAGCCCACACCAGGGCTTACTCTAGGGACCTGAAAGACATTACAAGAGGCATTATGCAAATCAGATAGGGACCAACGGCAAAAGAGAGAAAGCCCCAGCTTGGTAGTGTACCAAATTGAAGCAGATTCCTGCTGCCCACAGTGAAAACGGAGTGTTTTACACAACAAAAATAATCTCATAACAGCCTGTACTTTCAAAACCGCCACATGTCGCCATCCTGTGTCACCAACAGGGAGACCTAGTGAGTGGTACACTACACATGGCTACTACAAGGCAGTAAACACCAGCTGGTGCCCAACGCACAAACAATTCCTCACTCACTATACTAGTGCAGTAGAGAGCACTGAGGGCAGTCAGTACATATCAATACACACACAGAGTGTGTGTGGGTGTGACCCTTGCACTTGAGCGCCATTGGAATGCCTGTCTTCCTGTCAAAACCTTGGTTGATAAAACATCAAGGGACTGCAGTTCCTTGGTACATGTGTACAGATGATCAACACACACCAAGGCCCCCATACTACCATGGGTAGTACTAAACTCCAGTAATAAGAAGTAGCAGAACAGTATTCATATGCAGGGACTCTGGCAGGCAGCTACAAACATCACATGGGTAGCTGGGTCCTTATGAATACCATTAGAGCCACCCATTCTGGGCATCTTATGTAATATACACAGCTGTTATTGGCCTGCCACTACAAGGCAGTCCTGTCTCTTAGCTGTACACAACAGGGCACCTTAGACAAGAGGCTGTGTGTGCCAGTCCAGCCTGGCAGACCTCCAGCCAACAGACTTAGTATACTTCTCAGTGCACACACACATAATGCATAATTAGATGGAGAATGCTAAGGCCTTGTGGTATCAACACACTACACCCAACAAGCCCCTGCCTGCTGGCACCTATTCAGAATCTTCTTCCTGGCCCCGACATAGAACAGTGAAAGGTCAGCATTTGAGGCCAAACCTTTTCCAAGAAAACCCACTGAGTAGCGTTGTAGCTTGCAGACTAACTAACACACTATTAGCAAACACACTCTTAGGTAACACAGCAGCCAGCAGGAAGCAGTCCAATAAGCTGTACATAACACTGGTGGTAACTAGCAGTAACACCATAAATAAAATTCCACTCACAAAGTTTAAACCAAGCATGCTGTGTACAAACAAACACCATTTACAAGTTTTTATTGGCTAAGGCTGTTTGTTGTTGTTTGAGGCAAACTGTACATGTGTATGTAGGTGCAAGATGGAGTAATGCAGACCTGGATCACTCTACTAGAATTCCACTCTACTTTGCAAGACACACACACTCTTACACATTGTGCAAAACAGGTAGTGACACACAATAGGTATAATATTATGTGTGCAGGATAGCGTGACACATATTGGACAAAATGGCATTCATTCGCACTCTTGACCTCTCATTCAAGTCCAAACACCAAATACCCACTCCTCGGTGGCCGGGCAAAAGCCAATAATTTGTATGGTATTGACACAACTGAATCTGAATACACACACAGGTCCAGATGCATAAGTACATTCACACACATAACTGGAGAGTTTCTTGTGTGTACAATTCGTGGGAAGAAAACAGACCCTTTGTTCAAAGCTGAATAGCCTAGGGACCTGTGGCAGGGGAGGGCTGTTTACCCAGCCCACTACGTGTAGTTTGGGGATTTACTATGATACCTACATACCATACAGGTAGACAAACAATTGTGAATCTAGACACACTACAGAGGTTATCATAACACGGGACACATGATGCTGTATACAACTGTGGGGGGAGAGCAAGTGGGAAACGCAACAAACAAAAACAAGTTGACGTTGTCCCGATATTGCAATACATAACAGTTGAGATGTAGGCGTATATGATTGCGATAGTCATTCACATGGCCTTAGTGGTGTGTGTTCACCAACATGGGCCGACCGGGCAAACAAACTCCCATACCTGACACATCTTCTACAGCAAACAAACTATGCTCATACAGTCCACCTTGAGGCACACACACACTCACAGTGACACAACAGAAAACAACAAAATGGTGGCCAATCTGCAGCAGTAGTATAATACACTGCATACTGTAGCAGTGTGCAGTAAACTTGTGAGTTTTCTGATGCTACCGGCAAAATTGCTGGTGGACCTGTTGGAAAGCCACAGAGTGTAGGCAGTGATTTGACTAGAGGAATGCGATAATTGGCATGGGGTGCATCTTCAAAGGGGACGTGCCACAAACAACAGGGTCAAAGGAATGCATTTATCACTGATAGAAACCTGCTATATGCTCCACACACTCATTTATGCTCTCCTTTCTGCCCATACTGAATAAATTCTAACCAATATGTCAACAAACTCACTTACATGCTCTCTATTCTGCCTACACAGGAAGAGCTATATGCTAAGAGGTAAATAGTTATTGCATGCTTCACGCACACTTCCATTATAAGGCCAATCAAACTGGAACTGCATGCTATAAACCAGCCACTGAAGTGATGTGACTGTAGAGCATGGCAGAACAGGTTCAGGGGTATGGGAAGCAGGAAGTGGTCTAGTGCCCACAGTACCACTGGGACCTCACAAACACAGTAGGATAGGTCTAGGTCTAGACAGTGATGCAGTGCTTTGACAGGTGATGTCACATCCTACAGCCCCACTGTTTCCTACCAGACTATATATCATAATAGCAATACATGTATATATGTAACATGTATATATGTAACATGGTCAATGAAATATGTACAAACTGTATATGACTGTGCATTAAACTATGAACGTGAATATTTGACGCCCACATCCGACCAACTAAAAAAACAAAATCCAAGAGTGTGGGGCACGGCCAATGAATTATTTCAGCAACTTCTGTGATTATTGCACCCGACCCATGCACAGTGGAGAAATGAATGCTGACATAAACACCAGTCAGTACATTCCAGTTGAAGCTGAGTCATCTCTGTTAGCTGAATCTCCCAAATATTGTTGGGGAACCAACGAATGCCTGCCATAGTGATGAGTGTTTGTTGGTGAACCAGATGACTTAGAGTGAGGCTGACTGTGTCCCACATGAGACGGTGTGCCAGGCTTAATAAGACCAAAGACCCCTTAAATAAGGAGTGATTATTGCTGCATATTCCATCTATATACCGGCCCATCAGTGGAAAGGCTAATAGAACATTCCTAGCTACTCAACATGTAAGTCAACCATTATAATATAGAAACGACCATTGAAATACGCTTGTTTCAAAGACAAGGTAACACAATGACAAAGCTATAGAATGTAAAGCAAAGTTCCCTGTCCGATGTTTGTACATGACCACAGGCACCGGTTGACTAATTATGGCTAACCTCTTGTACCCTGCTATTGGCCTGAAGCCCACAGACTACCAAAAGGGGCAAGTAAAGGCCTTGTAACACGCACTGCTGCACATACATTATGTTTACTGCCAGACTGCTCATTGCACAACAAGGTAGCCAGTTGCATAATGCATGTATGTATGTATGCAGCGGAGCACTGGTTGATACAACTGAGTCCCACACTTGCTCTGTGGCAATCAAACGGTCACCTTCCATGCAACAGTAGGTGTAACTCCAACATAAACATTGGCCAACGCCTGTGTATATACGGAGCACTCCACCAACTGAACACACTGCAAACAACAGTGGAAGGAAACATCGCGACAAACAGAGGCTCTCGTGAAGACATTACTGTTGATGGTTTATGAACGCGACAGAATCAAAAGCATGTTGATGAAACTGTGACGCAAAAGGAGTGCCCGAGTGTACAGATATAAATGTTGACAAATTATGACGCGTTCAAAGCCCACCCAAAATGATTAATAACACTACCATATACACAAACTGAAATGGAATTAGCATGCCACACATTCTATATCCACAACACCTACAAAAAAATAATCATCATTGAATCGCCACCCAAATGGACAAAACTGTTGTTCTTTTGGGCTGTTTACGAGGAAGAGGAGCAGCATTTCATTTGGCTGCTAATTCAGTCGAAGACACCACAGACTTCTTACTGAGAGTGAGCGATGCCAAGACCATTCACACTCCCACTCCCACACATTACCCTTAATTTAGACCCTATTAGCTGCAGCTATAGCTGTGTGCTAAATACATATAGCACTTATTGACCATAATGTAACCGTGACCCCACACTATGACGACTACAAGAGTGACATGCATGGTATTAATGTATCCTGCCGACCAGACACACCGGCTTATATACGTATAGAGTGGAACCTAGACATACTGATACCATGAGAAGCTGTATCCTCTACGAGGGTCCGTAACACACTAAAGTAGGTATTAGACAGGTTTCCCATATTCCATCATAAAAGATATACTTAGTCATTATCCCCCCTCCCCCCCCAGTTACATTACTCTGTATTTCAGGCCATGAAGATGAAGGAAAAGATCAGCCTCTGCCAGGAATCAAACTCAACTCACAGCGTGTTTCGTTGTTTGTTCCCCTGACTCCAGGAAAGGAAACACTAGAGGAACTGCTGTTGAAGTGTATATACCAATGGATGGAGGTCAGATCACCTAATGCCATGCATACTGGTTATACTAAGTGGGCAATGACTAGAGTGAGGTCACATCCCCCATAGCCACTCCGTCTCAGCGAGGAAGCCTCATACACCAGCCACAGGTCTTCAGCATTACCTCAGACATAATGCATCCGCAGGAAGCCTGCCCTTAGTCCAGTTGGCTGGTGGATTGTCAATGTACTGCGTCTGCACTGCTCATCATAAACCACATGTGTATGCCTTACCAAAGTGTAAGATGGACTAAAGAGCCCACATCCCTGTCTCCACATACACAATGTCAAGAGTGAAACTAGGTTAGCCAAAGAGAAAGTGGTTGTAACGGAGGGAAGGGCATGAGTTTTTGGCTGTGGAAATCAATCACTTAGAGGCAACAGCGGCCTCACGTGTAGAACGGCTCTCGGCCTGTGTTTTGATCTCTGGATTAGTGAAACAGACAGAAATACCAGTGCCTATCAGCGGGCTAGGAGATCTGACTCATCGGCACATGATCCAGACACTCTGCCTAATAACACACACGCATGCATTGACCACTCAGAACTGAAATTGCTCAGTTGGGTGTGGTGTACAGTCAAGTAGAGATGAGAAGGTCTCCAATGATGCAAACAAATGAAGCCACTACAGACTTTGCTTTGTGCATTAGCACGGAAACAACCTTCTACTGACATCTGCCAGGCTAATGGCACAGACACTCCTCCTGCCAGCCAGTAACACAGCAGTAAGTGAGAGTATGTAGTTGGTGCTGTAAATGACGTAATAATCCAGGAGGCTACCCCCTCTACTTTCTCCCAAACAGATGGAGAGAGATAATTCACAGGTGACACTTTAGCTGGGTATTTGTACATATCAGCCTTACTGCACAGTTTTTGGATTCCATCCCCAACTCAGCTAGCAGAGTCAGAGATGGCTCCATTAGTCCAAACTGCTTACTTCGACCATTTTCCGCGCCTTCCCAACACTCGTGTTAGATACATACACGTTACCTGAGCTGGACACCTGAGTGTCAGTGGCATAAAAATGCAATTCTGACGAACCCACATCTCCCCACACAAACCATTGGGTAGTGGCAGAACAAACTAGAGTGGGACCAGCTTTCGCCACAAGTAGGGCTACTCACTGTACCACCACCACCGACAGCTGGAGAGGATATTTACAGATTGCAAACACGTGTTCCCCAGTTCAAGGTCATCTGTTTATTCTGCCATGCACAAACAGACGGAGGAGCACTACTAGGCAAACATGTTGTTTGCTCGTCTGCAGACCTGCGACTGCTCTAGCATGATCCAATGGGGTATGTAGTAAACACACCTCAGTCAATGTACCCATTGGACATGTACTATGTACCCTAGTCAGGACAGTAATTCATACTACCTTCCATCCACTACCATACATTGCTGCTCCAAATCGCCATGTAAATACATATGCAGCCCCATAAACCATATCTACATGCTTCAAGTTGCCCAAAAACCACAGATAAAGAAGACAATAGAGAGAAACTGTTGACAGCCCTCAGTGTGTGACTGCATGGAATGCTGAAGCTATAGATACACACATGGTCAGGTCAGGGGGGGGGGCTGCCTGCCTGCAGCTCCTTTCAGTCCAGCTCAACGATGCAGGCCAACTAACCCTGCCTGACAGAGTGACAAACAAGCTAAACCATACAAGACACAGGGCAAGGATACTAGTAGGGCATCAATACATGCACAACAGACTCCCCTTTGCAAAATATCCTGCCAGCTGAGCTAAGGGCGCAATAATGTTCTACTTACATAGCAGTACTCTCTGAGACAGTACAACAAACTATGATGGCACAAACTATTAAATGTAGCCCCTGTGCATAGAAGAAACATCAATGCTTTAAAGTTTATTACGCGAGTATCCATAATAGAGAAGAGATATTTAGTAACGTGGGACATATTGTACAGATTGTGGCAGACTTACAGACACGGCAAGAAGCCCACACTTGTGAGGGCTGTACATACGTCTGGTCTGAGGCGGGACAGGATCTACAGACGTCCCAGACACACATCCACAAGAGACTATTCATAAACAGCAGTGAATGCACCAAGGGGCTTGTATGTCCTTTTCAAGAGTCTATGTGGGAGAGTACACAAGCTCCTCTGGGGCTGCTTCAGGTAAACAGGTATCTTTTGGGACTCAGGGTTAGGGACTAAGTATAGTGTGGAAAGGGAATGGGCAGCTGTGTGTATACATAGTGTCACCCAGGTTGGAAAAACACAAACACACACAAAGGGTGTACCAGTTTAGCCGACATGAATCAAAAAGCTGCACGTGGTTACAAATTACTCTCAGCGGAGCCTTTTTGTGGGCTCCGCACTATTCAACCAACTGTAATGCTGTTTTTGCACAAACCGCCATGATTGAATGACAGGCATATCACACAGTAGACGGGCAACAGACTAACACATTTACCAACCATACGCTATGTACCTCGTTACAGCCGTTTTAGCAGCAATCAAAACACTCAGAGCGGCCCACCAGATGAACAGAGCTCCAAAACTAGCAAACAGGTTGTTTGTCGCCCTACGCACTTCGCTAAACACACACAACTGTAGATCAAGGCGCTACAACTGTCTCCAGCCACCGTAAGATACTCTGGCTATATTTTAGCAGTTTCGACAGTGCACCGTACTATATGAGCGGGGGCTCCCTCTAAGGCCACTTGTTTACAGTAAAGCTTTGCCAAACGACAATAATCCGCAAGTGAGCGCCAAACTATTATCCTCTGTTGCGGTTTCAAGTGTCGCCAGACTGGAATTTATGCCGTTCAGTAGGCAAAACATCCTCGGATAACTCAACACCTAGGACGAGATCCATCCCACCACTCCCCTACACCTCCCGTTTCTCTCTCTCTCTCTCTCTCTCTCTCCTTTCTTCCACGTCTCCCGCACTCGGACGCACAGATCGCCGGCTCACCTCGGAATCAGAGAGACTGTAGTCCGGTCCTCCCTCCAGCGGCACTCGGAGGAGAGGAACCTTGGGCTTTTGGGCTCGCGGCAGAGTCGACATCCTTATCAGTAGCTAACGAGACAGCTAGCGGCCAGTACTATGAGATCCGCTCCGGTTTAGGGCCAAAACTACACAATAAGAAACCCACACAGTGCGCCCCTCGAGGGCGCGACGTCTCTGAAATACCGAGGGGGGCGTGGCGTTACCCAGCTGCTGAGCCAGCTAGCGTTGCGCGGTTGAACAGAACTGCTGTTGCGCTGGCGACTTGCAGAATAATTTCCGAGACTTGCACAATACTCTTATAGCTCTACTTCAGCCTCTGCAACTGAGCTCGTGTATATACCCGTTCGATACGATCTTGCTGGAGCTACTACACATTCAGTAGTCGGGGTAAGTCTGTGGGCGTGCCCCGTTGCATCAATTATTCGGTCACCGGTGTACGCGCGAATTTCCCGCCAACTTTGCAAACCAGCCAGTCAGTCTCACTCTGCCTGTGCCATGAAAGCTGCAGAAGAACCAGACATACAATGGATCGGCGAGAAAGACATAAAAGGCCACGTGGCAAAATACAAGTGAGGGAGTAACCTTTTTGGCCCGTAGCTTTGTGACGTAGGTATATAGCTAAGTTAGCTCTGATTACGAGCACTAGGAACTTTGAGCCAGAACACGTCGTGTCCTCCACGTGCAGGAGTGTGGAGTTGAGAGGAGAGAGGTACACAGTTGGAGACCATGTCATTCTGCGTGGCACCAAGACAGAGCTCATATGTCGGCTGACTGGTTTCTCGAGAAACACCACCGACGATCAGGCCACTGCCGAGGTCCACTGGCTCTACTGGCCTCAAGAGATGGCTGCACAGCTGCGGAGTGTCCCGAGCAAGAAACGACCCAAGCTCCCGGAGCATACCCCCCGAGAGGTCTTCACGTCTGACTCCACAGACACCATCTCCGTCGGCACCATTCAGAGCAAGGTATCGGTTACCCACCTACCTCATTTCCAGCCAGTGCCCCCTCCGTCCCCGAGGGGCGCATCTCGACGCTACTACGCTCGCTGGCATTGGAACAGCTCCAGCAGAAAGTTCAGTCCCGTGTCTGGGGTCTCTGAGATGAAGGGGTTACTGGGCGCTGTCATCAGACTCTCCTCTCCTCATCCCACACCAACCTCCAGTTCCTCTGTGCAGGAGACGACATCACAAAAACTCACGCCACTTCCGACGCCTCGCTCTGTCTCCTCACGAGGAAAGAGTCGTATCAAAGATGTCTCCATCTGCCTGTCCAGGAGCCCTAGTGTGAGTTCGCCGTCTGAGAAGAGGACGGTTGCTCCTCCCCCCACATCTCCCCAGTCCCTGTCATTATTAACCCCTCGGTCAAACTGTACGAGTCGAGCTGCAGCGGCCAAGGCTAAGTCGTATCCACAGAAACCAGTCTCCACCAGCAGAACTACCAGAACTAATCCCCAATCAGCCAAGAGTGCTGGATACAGACTTGTCGATATTCTGACATACGGAGGTGGGCTAACAGAGGAAGTGGACGAGTTGCCCCTCCCACCCAGCTCTGCAAAGAGTCCAAGGAGCATGGAGAGAGGGAGGCAGTCACAGAAAGGGAGGCAGGAAAGAAAGATTCAGACTACACCCACACATGATAGTCGACTCAACACTAGTGATGTGGTGGACCTACTAGTAGTAGATGATGAGGAGGAGGAGGAGGAGGTTGGTGACCTAGAGCAATGTGAACATGATGATCTAAACAGTGACAATATAGCGGCGGCAACAGGCAAGAAGAGAAAGGGTGTTAGAGAGAAAGAGAAACAAGGGACTGGAAATGGTCATGCCAGCGAAACAGAGTCCAAAGAAAAGGGAGGTGCTGAGCGGAAGAGAAATGAAGAAAAAAAAGCGACAAAATCGGGCGGGAAAGCCGGTCGAAAGGAGGTGTCCAGGGGAGGTAGAGACAGAGGCAAGGCAAGGAGTACCCGCAATGGCAACGGAGAGGGAGGAGAGAATGTTCCGGAAGACACAGTGACTAGCCCACAGGGAGTCCTCCATCGTGGAGACATTCTGACCACTCCCAGTGCAGGTGGGGGGAAATGGTCCCTGAGAGCGAGGTCGGCAGTCAGACCGCCTGCCTATCTGGCCACTGACTTGCAAATTGGCAGAAAACTGAGCAGTAAGAGGGACAGATCTCCAACTCGTCTGTTGGACATTCTGATCTCGGAGCCGGATATGAAAAAGATGAAGTGCATGGCAGCATCAAGGGGAGAAGAGGCTGAGGATCGAGACGACAGAGGTGTAAGTGAAGCTGTTGCGAAGATTCCAGACAACAGGGCACGTCTAACAAGAACCCACACTCTTCCCCGGACCAAGGAGCCCAGCGGTGCTGCTTCAGCACGACCGGCTGAGCCCTCTGTTAGTTCCACTACCACAACCAACCACCACCACAGAGTTAAACCTCAGAAAAACAAGAAAGGGAGTGTTGGGGGTGAACCCAGAAAGACTGCAGTCTCCAAGAAAATGGGAGGAGGAGGCGCAGGGAAATCTAGTAAGGAACGGAAAGTGTCATCTGCCAAGCCGTTGAGAAAGAGGAAGAGGTTGTTGGGAGCAATAGACTGGGACAGTATCTCGGAGGAGTCTGAGGTCTCAGACAGTGGCAGTAATGAGGAGTACGAGCTGGGGAGCGAGGAGCCTGGTTCAGAGAGTGAGGCAGAGGAAGAGGAGGAGGAGGAGCCTATTGACCCACCTGCTTCCTCCAGGAAGAACAGTATTCAATCGTGCTCTGTGGCTAACTGGTCCCCAGAACTGAGTCCCCTTCCAGAGACAACACCTGTAGCCCTACCTCGAACGAGAGGTAGATCACGAAAGAATCATGCACAGACCATTTCCAAGACCCCCAGTGGCAGAACCCCAGCTGGTAGTACCCCTGGTCATCCTACACTGACAACACCTGCAGCCTCATCTCGAAAGAGAGTTAGACCACCAAAACGTTGTCCACAGACCATTTCCAAGATCCCCAGCTACAGTCCTCCTACTCAGACAACACCTGCAAGGAAGAGAGGTAGACCACCAAAGAGTTGTCCACAGACTATCTCCAAGACCCCCAGTGACAGAGCCAGCACTCCTGGTTGTGGTGCAACCCCTGGTAGCAAGACTGCTGCTAGTAAGACACCAGGTGGAAGGACCCCAGCTGGTCATAAGACTCCAGCCAGTAGGAGTGCCACTGGTAGGACCCCCAGAGTAGTGCCAACTCCCAACCTCCCACAGAAGAAGAAGCCGGCTGCAGGGGGAGCAGAGAGGACTGACTTTGATAAAGTCAGACAGAGGTACAGTGTATTAGAGCATCGGCAGACGCTCTAGTCATATCTCACGTGAAACGCATCAGAAGTTGTGTGAACGTCTAGCCTTGAACCAGCAATACACAACGAAATTACGAGGCCATATTTACGTCATAGCTGCAGTTAATCACACAAGAGTATGCTCAGACTCTTCTCATCGCCTACTTTCTTTTCTACATTACCTTGTCTCATGTGATCTGTGCCTATGAAATCGGTAGTCTTGAACCACCAGAGCACAGCAAACATCAATATGAGGCCACATCTAGCTGCATTTATACACACAAGAGTATGCTCAGCACTGAACTATTTTGGGACCATAATGTGATAGTTTGTCTGTCTCTTCTCTCGCAGTCTGCATGTGTCGGCCACACCAAACTGCCTGCCATGCAGAGAGACTGAGTTTGCCGACGTCTACGCTTTCGTGGAGGACAAACTGAGCGATGGAACAGGAGGGTGAGGGAATAGGCACTCTAAAATTACTATATCCCACAGGCTCTTAAAATGTTTTAGGGGAGTGGAAGTAATACAAAAACTTATAAATAGACTTTATTGAGGAATAGTTTCTTGCTCATAACTTTTCTTTTTCTTTTCCTTACCATCTGCTTACTGTATCCCTTATTCTATTACCCCCCTCCCCTCCCCTCCCCCTCCCCTCCCTTCCTCCCTCCACCCACTCTCTGTATACGCAGCTGTATGTACATCTCGGGGGTACCGGGAACAGGTAAGACGGCGACAGTCAGGGAAGTGGCTCGCTGTCTGCGAGAAGGTGAGGAGGATGGCTCTCTCCCTAACTTCTCCTTCTTAGAGATCAATGGCATGAGACTCACAGAACCCCGACAAGCCTACTCCTCTATACTGAGGGTGAGACACAGCTCTCCTGTCTTATACTGTATACATCAGACTGCAGAGTGTCGTAGGTTTGAGTCCTCCACGGGGCAGCTTTTTTCCGTCGAAAAACAAGAGTTGTTGTTGGTGTCGGTAAATTGTTTGCTTTGCACTAGCCTTGCTTTCGCATCTCACTAATGATCATAAAGCGGGTGTAAGAGCTGCCCTTGGTCCCATGCACTATTTGAGGTTTGTCAAACAGCTTTGTCATCATTTCTTGGTATGTCGTGGCATGAAATGAGCACTCTTGTTTGCAGCAACTGACAGGCCAGCAGGCAACTCCTGATCACGCTGCTCTGTTGCTGGACAGCTACTTTGCCACGTCTCGTGACACCACGACCGTCCTACTGGCCGATGAGGTACTAATGAATGAGTGCTGGTAATGAGTGTACTGAGCATGATGCAAGGCTGAAATTGGAGTAAAAATTAACAAGTCAAATGATGCCATGACTGAGCATGTGAAATGGGTTTTGTGCATGATTATTGGCTCCACTGTGAAGTATGCAGTGTGCATGTAGAATGTCCATGTGACCAAATCCCTATTGTTTTAGCCAGCACCGAGTGTGAACTGTGAACTTGAAATATTACCGAGGCTTTTGGTTTCATGTCTATTTGTGCATCACTAAAACCTTTAATTGAACCCGTTTTTAGTCTTTCTTTGGCCAGTATACTTCAACTGGACCTTCAGCTATTCCCTCCCCACTCTAGCTGGACTTGCTGTGGACAAGGAAACAGTCGGTGCTCTATCATCTGTTTGACTGGCCCACCAGAGCAGAGGCCAGGCTGGTGGTACTAGCTGTGGCCAATACCATGGACCTCCCCGAGAGAATCATGATGAACAGGGTCTCCAGTAGACTGGTGGGTGGAGCCTGGGTCATCAGTGCATGCGGCAGAGCTGTATATAGTGATGTAAAGACTTTCCAGAACGGTTGTATACATAGATACTCTACATTTCTTTTGCATTTCTCCATCTCAATGAGTTATTGACCACAAAGTGTGGGGTTGAAAGTTGCTGTTGGTATACCTTGCATTCTCTCTCTCTCCTTTCCTCCTTCTAGTGAGTTATGTTGTAGCTGTCATAAATAAGGGTATAGAGTTCAAAAGTTGTTGTAATCTTTCTCTCTCTCTGCTCCCTCCCTCTCCCTCTGAAGGGTCTGACTAGACTCATATTCCAGCCGTACACCTTCCAGCAGTTGCAGGAGATCGTGTCCTCCAGAATGGCTCATCTCAATCTGTTTGAACCCGACGCAATGCAACTAGCAGCCAGGAAGGTAAAGAACAACGATCCCTACTCTGTTTCTTCCCCATAGTCCACCTGGTTATGATTGATGCTTAGTTTTTTTAACATTGCACGAGCACTGGTTATGATTGATGCTTAGTTATTTTTAACATTGCGATGTAAGAAAACTCTTGGCCGTAAACACATTGCGAATTGTAAGGGGATGCATCCTCTGAAGCAATTGAATTGTGAAAGTTTCGAGGATGAATCCTGGCCTAATCGCTTGTATGGTGTTCCTGACATCACAGGTGGCAGCAGTGTCAGGGGACGCCCGACGAGCTCTCGACATCTGTCGCAGAGCCACGGAGCTGGCTGCAGCAGATCAGGGCACCTCCGGGGGCAGCAGTAGCACAGGGGACAGCGGAACCTCCGGCAGTAGTAGGAAGAAGACAGGAGGAGGAGCCAAGGCTGGGACCAGAGTGGGCACAGGTCATATCAACAGAGCAGTCCAGGAGATGTTCTCTTCTCCTAAGATTGTCGCCATTCAGTGAGTCTTTCCATACACCTCAAAAATATAATATAGCTCTTAGGAAATGACAGATTCATGTCCTTAGTACTACAGTCATTTATAGTGTTGAAGGGGAACACCTTAAAGTATGTATGTACAGCTATACATATGTCTTTTCCAAGTCACTGATATAGTGTTTGGTGGGGGAAAGCCCTGTATGATTAGAGTGTGTACATGCGATCTCCTCTCCTGACAGGAGAGCATCAGCCCATGAGCAGATGTTCCTGCGGGCAGTTCTGTCAGAGTTCAGGAGAACAGGGCTGGAGGAGGCCACACTCGGTGATATCTACACTCAACTGCAGGTCCTCTACAGAACTGAAGGTCATACACCGTTGCCTTCCCCCTCCACTCATTCTTCTGTGGTAGTCTCCTTTAGTTGGCAAGAGAAGCGACCTTCCTAGTCATTTCAATGAGGGAATTTTCTATATTATGTCACGACTATGTCGGGCACTGCAAAATTAATATTGAACGCCAACAATGCATTGCCATACTATATACTATACACAATTCCACTGATGTTGTGTTTGACACCCTTATTTGGAGGACGAAGTAAAGTGAGATAGGGACATGCAGTATGTTATCACAACTGTAGTCAAACTATTATATTACAGATAGTTGGTTTGTCCCTATTTCCACTCTTGTGCCTATGAAATCGTTGACACCCATATTTAGGGTGACAGCGAAATTTGGCCGAGATAGGGATAGGTGCAGCGAGATGGAAGATCTTACCATTCCATACTCCAACTGTAGTCAAACTATTAAGGATAGTTGGTTTGTCCCTATTTCCACTCTTGTGCCTACAACAAATGGGAAATTGTTGACACCCATTATTTAGGGGGGACAGCGAAATTTGGCTGAGATAGGGATAGGTGCAGCAAGATGGAAGATGTTACCATTCCATACTACAACTGTAGATAAAGTATTAGGCATAGTTGGTTTGTCCCTATTTCCACTCTTGTGCCTACAACAAATGCGAAATCATTGCCATCCTTATTTAGGGGCAACAGCGAAATTTTCCGTAGATGCCTTATACCCAGCTCCCACATGTACACACACACACGCACAGGTCTCCCTGCAATCAACAGTTCACAGTTGTGTGAGGTCTGCTCCAGACTGGGGGCCAGTCGACTCCTCCTGGCCGAGGGTGGAGGGAGGAGACATCTGCAGGCCAGAGTCAGACTCAACATGAGCCAGGACGACGTCATCTTCTCCCTCAGACACCAACATATTATTTAACACACAATATCAAAGGATTATTTTATAACTTGTTTTTATCCATTCAAGCTATATAGACTCAATATTGCTGAGCAGAATTGGTGGTCATTACACATTAGCACATTTTTCCACATCAATTTCCCAGCACAACCACTAGAAACTGCCAAATGTGCATGCACAGCATAGTATAATCCTTGATGCAGTTAGTAGTTCGGACTGAAGGCTGAGTTGTGCTTGTATATAAAAGCTGAGTAACCTCACTGAAACAACATGTGGGGGTTGCAGGCACATCTCTAATGTGAAGGTGTGGGCCAAATGATGTCCGTTTTGACTGCCCTACTTCCGGGTGCGAATGGACTTTAGTTATCAGCAGGTGAACATAACAAGATAATCACATGAAATTTGGCACCCAAACAACAATAACGATAATAATAGACTGCAATCAATGATGACAACAAAAATGCTCCAATAAACATAATAGCCGGGAGCTGTATAGGGAATAATACCACTGGGGTAGGTGTATAATGATACAGTAGGTAGGTATAAAATATAGAGTTTCATTGAGTGGCGGTGGTATCTTTGAAGGTGACTAGGGATGCAGTGCTGGGGCCCATGAGGATGATACGGGCGGCGTCTGTGTGTGTGGCGTTGAGGACCACTTGTCCATTGACCGAGTACAGGTACTCTCCCACCTATATTAACATAGAGTGGGTGGAGAGAGAGAGAGAGGGAGGAAAGGTGAATGTGCATTTGCATGTGAGTGCGGAGCATTTCTAGGCATACAATGTTTTTATAATGGACAGAATAACAGTGTGCCACTTGTAATGGACATATTATTATACAGTGTGCAACCTATTCACACATCATGACCCACTGCCTTTCATTTGAAGTATTCTCTCGCCAGAAAACTTGTGGACTAAGAAAATGGAACCTTGCATGCACTAAAACAAGAGCTCTCGGTCATTAATGGGGTCAGTGAAGGCTCGACTGGCACCCGTGAAGGACTAGTACAGTTCCAGAGACAGTTGGCCAGCATCTCGTGCAACATTTCCATTGATACACTCACGAATCATTCACAACACCCTCGCATCTTGTCCAACACTGCTCCCAGTGGACGATTACATAATACTAGTGCATATAAACGCAGAGCATTGGTGGTGAGTGGGAGCAAGCTAGCTAGCAGAGGGCTGCAGAAGATTAAAAGAAGCACGTAATTCAAACTATGTGCAGTTTGACGACATACAGACACTATAATACTCCGCTCGGACCACTACGTCCACTCACCAATTATCCTCCATCATTTGTACAATATTATTATGATAAGCGGAAGAGTAGTTCTATCTCTATACAATAACCCAGTATGTGACACGTTTCGCTATCACGCACTACAACCACCAGGAAGTTGTGGCATACATACGTACACACAGGTGTTGTTGTGTTAGGTCACCTTGAGGCCAGATGCACTGGCTGGACCGTTGGGATCCACTCCATGGACATAGACTGGTCGAGAGCCTCGTATGACAAACCCATACCCAACCGGATCACTCACGACCTGTAATACATACCATGGGGAGGAATGACTCGACATACACTGTAAAGGGGCTGTCCTTCCAAAGAAAAACAGTATGCATCTACATCTGGCACCACCTAATGTACGTACGTAGCTTGTCACGGTGTACACACGCGACTCATACTATCACAAACGAAACAAGACAAGTTTGTGCATGCACACGCACAGTTTCCAAGGCAAAGGCACCAGGCAAGCAACTCAGTATTACGGGATATCCTCAAGGACACAAGTGGCGCAGGTCTAGAACCAAACACACTGGTCGACAAGGAGTTGGTAACACTTACATCAACCTGTCTCTTGACGTATTGTCCATTTGGATCCATCAGTTCCTCTACTGTGGGTCTCTTCACTTGGGCTCCTGCATGGCATGACACACACACACACAATCAATGACCTACACTTCTCCACAAACATTAGACGAGAAAAGGTTAGTCTTTCCATCACCATCTCACACTCTACTTCTCGATTTATCTTTCTCTACAACCCTACATTATGATGAGGGAGTTAGACACCTTTTTTGCTGCCAGCTAAGGGATTGAGTTGAGCCTATCGACAAGGGCTCTTATAGACCAAGTGACTGGGATACAGCACACACAAGACCAAACACGCCTTCTCTATCCCTGCCAAGAGTTAACATCAAAACACAAGGTATAATTCTTGATGGCAGGGTGTTAAATGACGTAATCATGTTGAGCTACACCATTCCAACAACCACCACCTGCCCAATTGGTATAATTATACCAGCTACCCAATTGCATCTGTCATTTAAGCAGGTGCATGTGACTTAGGCATTCTGAAGAAGACCCACTTAAGTGTGAGGTAATGTTCGATGGTCACACATTGCTGTGTACTGTGGGACTGGAGGTATACACAACGCTGTGTACTGTGGGACTGGAGGTATTATAAGGGGATGATATCCTGCTATGAGCTCAATAACCACTTCCTTCACGCACACCTTATGCAGACCTTACTACCTATGTATGGGGGTTTTGCAAACATACTTAGTGCCCATACCTCTTCACACGGACAGCTATGTATAGTGTGATGACCCATTACTAGTTGTCTTCATACATAGTGTGATGCAGTGTATGTCACGTATATACAACTAAACCCCTTACTAGTTGTCTGCACACGAAAGGCAGGATCTGAGGCTATTGATAAACAAATGCCTCTGCCTACATACGGATTGAACCAAAAACCTGGCACCGAAAAGCCAAGAGAGAGTCACACTAAGGAAGTGGCCATTATGTGTATGAGAATGTCAGATCAAGAGGATTGGATAGTGCGGATACTGATCGTGATCTGAGGCTGTATTTTCATGGCAACCCTGGCTCGGCTGCCAAGGGAAAGACATTATGTAACAACTCCAGCCAACCAGAAGAACTCTTTGTTACAGGAGACAGCATACATGTCCCCTCGTTCCCTTTCCCCCTCTCATCCCCTCTCCCTCCCTCCTTACTCCTTCCCCCTTTCTCTCTCCTCTTTCTTTCCCCTTCTCTCTTCACCCCCCTCTCTCCCCTCCCTCCTCACCTTCAGGAGTGGGTGAAGTGGTTGAGTTAGCTAGTGGACTTGGCTGGGTAGGTGTCCTCTGCATCTGGACATACCTGTGCAACACCAGACACATAGAAAACCAGTAACAGCCATGTATGTATACTGTTCCACAAACACATGTGCATACACTCTTAGATAAAACATAAATATTTACCTACACTTGTCCCTCCATGCACATGACTAGAGACAAGTGTGTGTGTGTGTGTGTGTGTGTGTGTGTCCATTATTACGTAATCACTGAGCTCTATAGCTACATTAGCTTCTTCCAACAATGGAGCTAAGTGTCTCAGTGTATGTATAAAACAAACATCAGGGCAACCCTAGACGGTAAGAAACATGAACCAGCTAGGGTTATATAGGCTTGTTCCTAAATGTCCAGTAAATGGCACGTAAACTGTTCAGCACTGAAAACTTACACCACACAAAACCAATTACCCTCATTTACTATTCAGCCCAGAAATGGATATAAACCACCTATACTTTGGGAAGACTGAATCTTCATTGTCATATTATCTTCATAGCCTATGGTTAATTCAACGCCATGTATATACTTCACCCAGAACTAACTTGAACTACACCCTACCCACACTTTTGGAAGACTAAATCTTCATTATTATCGTGAACTAAAGTAGGCTTCTCTTGTGCGTGTATCTACCAGCATGCTACAACAACACTAAAGAGAAACCAAAACAAAACACGACTTACTCGTCAGTCTCTTGTTTGGCTGGCTGGCCGGTGGAGTCTTCACCGCTGCCCCAGCTGCTCCCTGACTGACGGTTGTCTGACGGCTCTCCCATGCTCCCCGAGTCATCATTGTTCCCTCCGCCTCCCTTGGTGTTCCTGCGAGAGTTCTTCTTGGGGAGAGGGGAGCGCGGCTTGTCGTCGTTCTTGAACCGGAAGAAGAGGAACTCGTCTTTGAAGTGGTGGTCGTCGCATACTGTGTGCGGGGAGAGAGAAATGGGGGAGGGGTGGGTGGGTGGGAAACAGAGGGGAGAGAGAGGGGGAATGGTCATGAGTGTTATTCCTTGTGTATATACCATAATAGCACCTTCTATATAAAAAGGGTTACACAATAGACTGGACTGGTTATGCAATAATCGTGTAATAATATGTTTTCTCATGCCATGGACGAGCCCGGGTATTGCTGTGTATGCAGGGGTCATGTGCAATGTCAACTACAACACCAACGTCAATAGTAACACTTCAGTTTTGGGATTACCTCCTCCACCTGGGACCAGAGCGAGGGCAAGCCTACCAAAGCCAGTGTGCTCACGATCAAATAATGTACAACTAATGTACAACTGAAACACATTACTTACGCCATGGGTATGGTCTATAAAAACAAAAACATGGCTCAAAAACTTTCACTATGTATATTGCCTATGGATGCCGATCCTGAGCCGTGACATACCCACACACATTGACTCTCAAGGGAGAAAAAACTCCCATTAAGCTTTCTGCAACAACATATTTCAGATCACCCATACCCACACACACCCACACACAGAGGCAGAACAAACCACGTACCGTGTCTGAAAACGCCGGCATCCAACAGTTGTTTCCCAATGTCCACGGCCTCGATCCTGGAGCTGGCCTCGCCCCTCGAGATGAGCCAGTCCACAAACTCCCGTGCCACAAACACGCTCTTGTAGGTGGTGAGATGGTACTTGCGCTCTCTGATGAGATCTGATCCGTCACTGCGCAATCTATAATAGCCACGAGAGGAACTCCTTTACTTAAATACCACAATACGTAAAAAAAAATTTTTCCTTTAGAGCGAGAAAATTTCTAGTAGGAGATTGTGTGAACCTCGCAGTTCAAAGGCCAACTGCAAAAGTGTTCACTGTGCATTTGGTGTTGTGCAGGGCCAGATTATTTGTATGACACAACAACCAATCAGCAAATATTATACTTCCCGTGCAAATATTTTTTGAATTATGCAAGTGTCGTCCCACTGTCATATTATAACATGGGGCTTGGGAGGAAATATATATACTAGCATAATTATACAAACACACTACATCCTGCAGTGAGTATGTATGTAAGCCAGGCTGGTTGTCTGCTAGAGTGTGTGTGTGGAGGGAGTGGAGGGAGTGTTTGTATATGGCGGTAGGTAGGCAGGAGAAGCTCCATGAGTGGCAGGACATTGGGCCATCCACAGGAAATGGTGTGTGCATGTTTATCAAACACTCCCCGGCAAGGCTAACAGGCAAGGCTAACGGGCAAGGCTAACGGGCAAGGCTAACGTGGGCCTACTCTCCGTATAAGCTCACTCCAAGGTGGGGTGGTGGGAGTAGGTGGTGTGTGACTGTAGGTATGCCAATTAAACACAGCACTGCACACACACAGAGGCAGAGTCTAATAGATAAGTAGCAGAACGCTAACCATCATAAATATTCACACAGACGTCTTCTAATTCAGTGGATTACATGAGCTACAAGGTGGAATTTGTGTACTTCCTGGGGAACCTGATGAGAATGCGCTTTCAATCTCCGACATTATGATGCAACACGCAATAAAGTAGCATGTATGTATAGTATGCTTTACCTGCCATATATCCTCTGTCCTCTGGCTAATATAGCTGAATCTGGAGGCTCCTCGAATGTCCCGTCGTCTTTCCGGAAGCGATAGAACAACTTGTCGTCTTTGAAAACGTGATCATCGCACACTGCGAGGTGGAGAGTGAGACGGAGAGGGAGATACAGTGGCAATGGGGGAAAGAAAAGAGAGAGTGTGGGAGAGAGGGAAACGAGGGGAGGAAGGAAGGAAAGGGAAAGAATGAGGGGTGAGGGAGAGAGGGAATAACTAGACGTGTATGAATTCTCAGTAAAATAGCATTAGGAAACTCTTGAGTAATCACCATTGCCCGTACACAACTAATATTCAATAACAAGTGTATATAGATAGGTATATATACATGTGTAGAGGGAAGGCGTTTTTCTTTTTCTTTTTCAGAAGTCCTTTCAATTGCACACACATAGTGGTGTGTCTACAATCTCGAGGAAACAAAGGACAAGGTCATTACCCCACCACCATCCAAGTGGATCAATGTACTGTATATATACCTTCCCACATCTCTTGAATTGCGAGGCATGCACTTTTAGAGATACTGAGAACAGAAATCCCCAATTAAAGGGAATGTGGCAGTATATAAGGGCTAAATTTAGAAATGTTACTAAAACAGAACTCAATAGTGTTCTTCTTTCACTGTGCCCTATTATTGTTCTGTTCTATCTTTAGTAACATTTCTAAATTTAGCCCTTATAACACATTCCCTTTGAGGTGCTAGTAAGTAACAAATGTGAGTTGGAAGATATTCACCACCAACACAATTTAGCCACCAAAAGCTAGCTGAATAATATTATAGGGAGAGATGAAATTCACTCAATGTGCATTGTCGCCGAATAAAAGAAAAAATGGCGCAATTAAGACGACTAGCTTGCATTGCTCGCAAATTAAAATCCTGATCTCTCCTCTTTCATCTCTCGTCTCCCTAATGTCACACATGGAAAAACCCGTGGAACGTCAAATAGCATGTTGCATGTACCCACATTATAGTACCCATGAGAAGTTGAAATGCATATCAATTAGGTCTATGGCCAGTGAAACAAGCCTACATGGCGGGTCTATATGATAGCATATAACACCTCGTGACTCTGTTTGTAATAAAGGACCAATTCTTTAGCCTTCATAAGGAAACACTAGGGCATGCTCACTGGGGGTGATACGTACACATTATACATAGATGGTAGCTCAAAACCTTGCACACTAGGCAAAGGCAGTACAGTACCAAAGATTCTTGCTCCGTAAAGAATGCACAGCAGTATCCAGTACACACACACACACACACACACACACACACACACACACACACACACACACGCAGAGTTGTAGTGGTAGGTCCCAAGGAATACAGAGTGAAGAACACAGTTACAGGTGCTCTGACGACTAGCTCACACACACGCACTATATTGACTCAAGAGTGCCATAATTATTCTTGTTGAGAGGATACATAATAATTGTATGTCCATCCTGTTCTTTTCAAGTGAAGGCAGCTTAGGAAGTGGCTTGGTACTGCATTATTAGCTATCCCTTGTCCTGGTGTTGCCTATAGTAGCTACACCATACAACTGTAAGAACCTCTATCCGCCATACACACTCACTGCCATGCACACTCACTGCCATACACACTCACTGCCATACACACTCACTGCCATGCACACTCACTGCCATACACACTCACTGCCATGCACACTGCCATATGTGAAACAGGGGGTTCCATTAAGAGAGGTGTGGCCGGCAAGTGGGCTGCCAATGAGATGAATAACCCAGCTTCCACACCCGCCTGGTTGTATGGCTAGTCACATCAACCAAGCCTTTACCTGCGTCAGAGCTCACAGAGAGTGAAGTTTGACCACACAACCATCACCTCTACACAAGGCCGAGCTGGTAACACAAGCCCATTGAAGTCACCAGCATTTTACAGTCGCAGTCAGTTTAATGACATACTTGTACATTCATAGACTGAGTCTCTTGCTATTGCTAACGAGCCTGGCTCTATGCAGGCAAGCATCACAGAGTGTGTCTCATCATGTGTCTCGAAAGGGCTGGTCTACAAGCAACTGATCGAGTTGTGCATCCTAAACACTCCCTGTGCACGGTGAAAACTAAGGGGGCCCAGCTTGGATAGTATCTTCCTACCCCATGTGCATCTAGCTATAGTTTTATAGCCCGTTTTGCTCCGCTGTAGAAATTACGCCGTATCTTGGGTGTATAATAACTGGCATATGGCATAAAACACCGTTGAGCTAAGAGTCTAGCTTCCCCACTCAACAAACGTACGATGCGGAAGAAAGACAGGGCTAGCTACACGTCTGCTCTTTGCTCACCATGATGTAAGACTCCGTGATCGATAAGTTTCTGCATCATGGCGACGGCCTCTCTCCTCGACTCCACCTCGCCCTTCTTGAGGAGCCAGTCCACCATCTCGTGCCCTGCGAAACACGCCTGGTAGGACCGGAGGTGGTAGCGCCGGTCCTTGATGAGCGGAGGGTTCTCTGCGTGCAAGAGTTGCCGCAGCTCCTCGCCTACGGCCAAAATGGCGGCCTTGTTGGAGGCGCGGACCGTGCTGGTCATCTTTCTGCTGCCAATCGCGTTGCTGACACTGCTGAAGCGGCCGACGCCGTTGCTGGAAGAAGTGCTCCCGTGCCTGCCTACGCCTTGAAACGACTCAGTCGTGGCTCCGCTGCCAAAGCTGCTCACGCTCACATTGCGCACGGGAAGTGCCGGAGGGGCGGGGCTTCCTGCGTCATCGTTGATGAAAGACATTCTGGATCGAGCTGTTTGCTGGAAATTGTAGAATTCCTTTGCCGGATGGAACGCCGTGTCTAGAGCGATGCAGAGATCTGCCGAGAAAGGAGAACATTTCATCATGCATGAAAGGGGAACAACACCAAATTACAAATGCGCGTGCGCAAATGGTGCGCATGCGCTGTAGCTTCGGGCAATGAATGATCTTCTAGCTACCATGCCAATATATAAATCTAGGATACTACCCTGTTTGGAGTTTCACCCTATTATGTATCCCTGCTATTTAGTGCATGAAGTGAAGGGTTAGCAGAACCAACAAAAATATTTCATTCTCTCTCCTCCCCTCCCTCTCTCTCCTCACGCTGTATTATTTCATATCCCTGCAAAATACAGCTGCATGCAAACCAACGTGATAGTACAATTCCCAGAAAATCTTCCACCCACACAAGGAAAGAAACACATCCACACAGGTGTCTGGCTCCCTCAGCTGAACCAACATTCTGACACTTGACATGTTTGTTGTTCTACCACGCAGCCCCCCAGGTGTGCGCATGTGCATGTTCTACAGAGAGGAGGTGCTAATGTTATTTATTACTAGACTCTCTGTGTCAATGTATATACTACATGTAGGAGAAGGTGTCAGTGTGTGATGTCAGGCAGGAGACCTACATATGGGGCTTCAGCGGTGGTGGGCGATGCAGGGGGGATCTTTGGCTTCTATTTGCTACACTTGCTCTGGGTATATATAAGTGGCACAGATGAGGTTTCCACGCTCCTAACAAGAGGAAGTTATATCCCCACCTCAAGCAGGAATTGGAGATTCTTACTACTTTATAGTGTGGTCATGGCCTATGCCACATGAAGAATGTGAAACAGTGAGCTATGACCCTTAATTAATTGATAGTGTTTTTATAGTTCAACAAATGGACACACACGCGTACATACCTACTACAATATTATGGTCAGAGATATTCACGATGGACGTAGCAATTTGTGTATTGTACACGCACAAGATGGTGCTCTATATAATAATTGTTTGTTGTGTGAGAACTAGAGCATTACACAAGTGATTGCTCGTTATTATCGTCCTATGTATTAGAATATCACGCGCCAGTTATGTCACAACAAAGACCAAACCTATTTCTGAACAGCCAATACTAAGCAGCTAGCACATTGGCAGTTCAAAGTATAGCTGAAGCAATATCCTGTGCAGGTGTGATAGCTTATACCTCACACTTCATCTGCAGCAAAGCCAGTTGTATTAGCTACTGGGTTACTAGCTAGACCCTTGCAGACACCGTTCTTGACTTCCGTCGGTATAGCTCTGAAGGTGCACGGTGACGTAGGAAACATCCGGGCCATTCCTAGCTAGTAGCAAGAATCTGCAGCTTACGTGGAAATCAGCTACTCGTGCTCAGAGCCGGGCCAGGGGCTCAGATCAAAGTATCGAGCCCTAGCCATTTTGGTACGTAGCTGGCATAGCTACGTACTGAAGTTAGCTAGTAGTGTCCTTGTGCATGTTTTGTGTTAGCTAGCCTACATGGCAACGCAATCATCTGAGTGTACAAATGGCTGCCTACTTTTCTCCTGCAGTTTAGAGATATTCGTAGCTAGAGATATTATCACTCCAGCTACTCTAGAACCGTTTTAGCTAACTTTCCAGCACTGCTTCTGCAATGCCTGTGACATAATTGTACGCCGCTGGAGCGACATGCTACATCAAAATCAATGCTTACCTCTGCCTTCAGTGTCGCTTGCTTTCTTGATTTCAAAGTAAACCTGCAGCAGCCTTCAACACGACACTCGGTGGTCTGCGGATCATTCACAAAAACGGCGAACTTTTCCGGCGCACCCCTCCTGAAATAAGCTGATTCAACGCATGCGCATGCGCAAGTGAGAGGAAGTCTATGGAAGGGGAGGGGGTGTGGGGTCAGCAAATGGAGCAGACAGAGCCACTGGTAGATGAAGCCAACAGGGCAGACACTCCACAGCTCAAGGAAGGGGCTGAAGCAGGAGAGAGGAAGAGGAGTGAGGTGGTAGCAGCGGCCAGGGCTGCTGGGCTGTGTGTGGAAGAGGGAGCCCCTGGCACTCAGCTCCTGAGATTTGCCCACGGTCTCAACAGTGACGAGTTGAGACTCATGGAGCTGCCTCATGGCGTGCTGGGTGCCCTCAAGGAGGGCGAGAGGTCGGTTACACAAGTGGCATTGAGGTGATGGTATGGTACTGCTGGACAAGTCATAATTGCTTACTGCTGTGGTTATATAATCATTTTCGTTGTGCTTTGTGTACACATGTACATAAAAGTTGTAGGAACACGAGTGATATTGTTGTGTCATATATACAATGTGTGACAGTGTGTGACTGTGTATGGTGCGATAGGTGTCTTGGGGACCCAGGAAATACCCTCATGTTCACTGTGTGTATATGGACCAGGTGTGTCGGCTGTTGGGTAGTCACAACCACCAGCATTATATTAGGGCATACTTCTGTGTCAGTTTCTCTAGCGTTTCGTGTATCTCTTCCTACTTGGTGTGCGTCGTGGGCATTACAGTGTGCCCCCAGTGGAGTATTGGTGACATATGCAGAGCCTGTAAACGTGTTCTTCATTGTGTGTGGCTGCCGTGATGTCCATAGCCTACAATCTGCACCATACATGGTATAGTACTGTGTGTGTAGTACACACTCTGGCATTGTGTTAGTGAGCTAATGAGTGACATGCCAGCAGCCACAAGTCACTCTCTCTCAACTGCGGTACAAGTGGGTGCACAGTGGTCTCTTTAAGGACACCCCTGAAACAAGGCTACCTCTTTCCTGTTGCTTGTTTGCAATGTATAACCCCTGAAACGAGGAAACCTCTCTAATAAGGCCTTTTCCCCTGTGAACAGTGTGCACATAAAATTTACACACATACACACCTCACTAATACAGCCGCTTTCTTCTTCCCTTTGGGATTAGAGGGTTTCCATTGGTTGCTGTCTGAACAGTGTATATACTCTAAAAATCTTCCTGTGAACCGTGAACATAAGTGGAATATTGCTGTACGCCTGGTGAAGGTGCTCATATAAAAATAAAAATGGAAATCTGTAACCTATAATCCTACCATGCAACCTTAAAACTACAGGACTTCGTTAATGTATTTAGAGGAAATCATTCCTTTGGGGTCTTCAGAATCACTCTGTCATCTCAGAGCCAAGTGTCCACTCCCTCCCCACCCACAGGGTGGTGATACGAGGGGAGCAGGGAGAGAACGCTGTACTCTGTACCGAGGGTGCGACCTATGAACTCCGAACTGCAGACACTTCAAACGCTCTCCTTCTCGTCCCTTCTCTCTCTTACTCTCAGGACAACTGTAAGAGGGACACCCACCCGATTAACTTTAATCAATCAGTTTCCTTTATGTATATATAGCTCTTGGTGAGGATCCTCTACCCACTAAAGGGGTTTGTTGCTTTTGTTGTTGTATGCGTGTACCAGACATCATTGTTGTATAACATGTCTCCATATGCCATAGAAACATTATACAAATAAGATTTCTTCATTCCTTGAGTACTAGCTAGTCTACGGAATTTCTGTTATAGGCAATATAATAAACATGACACAATAATGAAGTATTCTAATTGTCACATAACTTGACTCAGCTACTATAGATACGCCTACTAACACAACCTGGTCACAATGTGGGCGTTGTTTTAGCCAACGTTTCTGATAAAGCTGTCATTAGTTTTATGATATTTATAGCCTGTCATTAGTTTCATGAATGGAGTCTAATCCTACACATTATTATGACATGCAGGTGACAATGTGTTTGTCGAACTACTTGGAACTGAGGCCGTGTCGACCGAGAACTGAGAAATTGAGACAGCTGTTGTCAGAGTGTCCCTACAGAGGACCTGAATACGAGGAGGAGGGGGAGGAGGAGGGGGAGGAGGGGCTGGTTAACGAGGGGGAGGAGTCAGGGGAAGACGATAAGGATGACTGGGAGGAGAGGAGGAGAACCAAAAGTCGAAAGGTGAAAATTGACCGACCAAGAAAGGTTTGTTGTGTGTCTCCCTCTCTTTCGTTCAGTTTCCACCATCGATGACTTCGTGCCATTCCCTGTAGTACATGTTCTCAGAGCTGGTGGAGGTGGTGCAGGCTAGTGAGAGGGAGCTACGAGAAGCTCTTCAAAAACTTCAGGCCTGTCTCATCTCTGGTGTGAATGCATCCTCGCTTGTCTCAGTTGTCTGAGCCCCTTGGGACAGTAGGCGTTCAGATAAGTGTGAAGCAATGCCATAGCTATAACCAAACTAGCAGTATAATTATATACTTTAGCTACATATCTATGACATTGCTTCCTCTGTGCAAGCAAGCTGTGGAGGAGGTTAGAGAATTGCTGCTCTGTAATGATGTACTGTAGAAGTGGGTCTAGTAGGAAGGTAACTGGTGAGGTAATTCTGAGAAAATGTAAGTCAGTAAATGAGTGGTTGTTGGTGGCGGGATTTAGTGTGTGTATTGCATGTGTGCACCACCGGGTGAGTTTGCACCCTTTCTCATCTCGAGAGCTGGACTCGATTGCAAGCACCCGTTTTCCAACAAAAGCCGGTTCTGACCGGTATTATTTCTGTCTCGGGTTTTGAACTAGGTTAGCTGTGCACGTGATATAGACAATAATAAAGATATGTACAAAAAGTAACAGTCCCTGTTACGTGTGTGACGTCAGGTTACTGGAGGTTGCTGGAGGCAGACTACGTAGAGCAGGCAGTGCAGCATATCCTGGCTCTACTTGAGGAGAAGGACTGGCCCTGGACTCGGGTGCCTCTCTCTTCCACCTCCCACCATCTTCAGGAACTTCTGCCTAGGTTACTACTGCATACAGCGAAACATCCGAAAATGACCCTCCGAATAAAGGACACCTCTATAAGCGACACTTTGTTCTGCCACATACTAATATATTATTGTATTATACTACCTCCAAATGAAGGACACCTCTGAAGAAAGGACGCTTTCAATGTCCCCATGGTGTCCCTTATTCAGATGTTTTACTGTAGTATAAGCTTGGGAACAATCTTGACCCAAGGGGAAGGGGTGTTGTTATTCAGTCTGCCAGTGAACGCAGGTTAGTTTTACTTGCCCTCTTGGGAAAAAGCATGGCGTGTGGTGTGCATATAATAGTACTGGATTCCTTTGATGCTGTGGTGATAGCAATGATTCAGAGTCAATTTTTACTGTGTAAGCACTGTTGTCAGTGATGCATGTGTGTTTGCCGATAGCCTAAGTATTTAATGTTTGGTCTGGGTACACGAGACACTGTTTGTACACAAGGTACAGTGTTTGAATGTTTTGGATATCAAAGCAAGAGACAATAGGTCCAGGGGGAAGATTAATTCAGGAGATGGAAGTGCTGAGCCGAATCATTGCATGTATGTAGCAGTAAAGAGGTGGAGGGTTTGCTGGTGGACTCAGCCTTAACTACTTTTCATTTCTGGAGGGAAAGTCCTGGCACACAGTAGTACATACCAGTCTTTCTTTCCTCTTCCCTAAGACACTGACCTCAGCTTCTTCCCTTTCCTCTTGGGAATTTACCAGAGTGTGTATATAGCTGAACTATTGTACTTACAATCATTCCTAACATACCCAATGCCGTTCCCCCCTCTCCTCTTGAGAGTATCACACAACACATGGGGACATTACCAAAGTGTGTAGCTGAACTACGGTATAGTGACATGTCATATTATCCAGTTTCCCACTCACTTGCTGGCAGACAGAGAGACTCACTAGAACCCATAGTTGGAAGCAATGCCTGTGTCAATGTAGCCCTCATTCCGCAACTAGTAAAGCACGTGCTCTAAAAAAGTATGTAAGTCATCCCTGTTTTATCTATTTACTAATGTACCTACTTAAAGGCCAGCAATAGACCACGCACCGGAGCACTGAGTGGATCCACAAGTAAATGTACATAATACCTACCAGCATCCCCCAGCATCTTATTGTGCAGCTATTGTGCGAAATAAAGCACCCATTGATTGATGGATCCAGGTGTATATACTAGCAATACATTATGGTCCAGTGTATACATGCTCTGTGTGTTTGTTGTCGTTGTGACTCAGATTTGTTATAAAGCACTGCCTCGATTGTTATGGTACAAAGATCAGCCGAGAAGACAATTCTGAAGGTATGCCATTATGTGCCTACCTATCAATCAAGACACACACTCTCACATTATGCAAACTCCAGCGGACACTTATTATGAGCTGTCGGTGGAGAAGGTGTGCCAGTTTTATGCAGTCCTACTGCTCAGACAAGCTGGAAAAGTAAGTTAATTAGTCGTCTTGATTAACAGGGTCGACCCGGTTAGTGTGTGTCGTACTACAGTTCAACTACAGTGAGTTCATGGAGTCGTGGCAGCAGTCTGTCCCTCTCGGAATGGAGACTGATCTCGGTCAGCTGAGAGTAAGTCCAACATACATTATACATTGCATGTAGCTACATATGTACCTACACACATACCCTCCGTGCATTGCTTGGTGCTGGTGCACTTGTGCCATAGGTACATACCAAATCAGATTGGGAGACAGACTTGAGTAATTGTCCGGTTTTTTGATCCGTTCTCCTACACCTGCATACAAGTGGAAAGGACACTGCTAAACTATGTACAATAATATGTAATGTTCATTATAACCTGTCTCATGTGACCACACAAGAGGCTGGCCCTGAGAGACATGTCTGCCATGCCTCCAGTCATCTGGTACTTCCCACTATCCACTCTTCCTCAGGAGCCTGCCGACAGGTACATACATACATGGCATTTCTTATTCCTAAACTATGGGATTTGGGGAAACTTTCGTGAATTGTGAGTTTTGAGATCACAAGAGTCTTCTTCTGGAAAATGTGTTATTCACTTAGCATGCATGTGGTTACTAATAGCTACTGGATGTTGAACAAAAGTATTTGTTGTGGTCTTACTGACAGGTTCAACTGCCTGTTTTCTGCCCGACAGAGATGGACTCAAAATGACATTGAGCCCTACATTGAGTGAGGCACTGATTGTGTTGTCCTTGTAAATTGTAGTACTTATACCTTCCTGCAGTGACTTAGCTACACCAACCCAGTCTCTGAGTGCTTTGCTACTCAAGTATGCTCGTGTTTCAACTGTCAAAGGCGTAAAGATGTACAATGCAAAAAGAACCTTCAAATAGAGAATGCACACATGCTATATATGAGCTCAAATCTGCTTTGGTGAATGCGCATGCGCGTACATTTGTTGTCGTGGTCGATTTAGTGCGCACCATGGCTAAGCGGACGAGAGATGAAGATCTAGACTCAGAGTTTGAGTTCTCTTCCGAAGCGAAGAAGAGGACGTGGCGAGATGATCCTCTTGCTGCGTCTAAGAGTGGCGGAACGAGCGGACCCCGGCACTCGGTGCCCGTCCCCTCCAAGCAGCTGGTGACTCAGGAGTACGACAAGGAAGAGTGGAGGGCGAGGCGGTTCCACTACCTCGCCATGGACGCCTACTCCCGCCACAAGGCCCTCGTCAACCACTACCTTCTGTTCAGCGGCCACGGGATCGAACACCTGAAGCGCTCCACGGACAAAGACCGTAACGACTACTCCGTACTGGGAGAGGAGCATAGGTTTCTATGGACGGAGAAGGACGCGCCCGACACGTGGGAAAAGAAGCTAGCAAAGTCGTACTACGACCGTCTGTTCAAGGAGTATGCCATATGTGACTTGAGCCGGTACAGGGAGAACAAGATTGCTCTGAGGTGGCGGGTGGAGAAGGAGCTGGTGGACGGGAAGGGACAGTTTTCCTGTGGAAACAAACACTGCAGTGAGCTAAGGGACCTCCAAAGCTGGGAGGTCAACTTTAACTACTTGGAGCACGGCCAAAAGAAACAGGCACTGGTAAAAGTTCGACTCTGCAAAGAGTGCTCAGTGAAACTCAACTTCCATCACAAGAGAAGGCCGTGGAAGAGAAAGGAAAAGAAAAAGGGAGAGGACACGGAAGAGCCCACATCATCCAAGAAAAGGCACAAAAAGAGTAAGACCAAGAAGGACAAGAAGAAGCATAAACATAGACACAGGGAGGGGAGGAAAGGTTCAGGGTCAGAAGAGAGTGGGTCGGGAGGGGAGTCAGAGGCTGAGACTGCCGGGGAAGGGGGCAGCTCTGTGTGGAGACAGAGTGCTGCAGCCACACTGGAGGAGAAGTCACAGGAGGACGAGTTCGAGGACTACTTCAAGGACATGCTTTTGTAGCACACCACCACAGTATCAAACTCTGCGTATCTTGGTGTCTGTATATACGTGCCATATTTTTTCGTCTACTTGCGATCGATTGAATTTGCAGTATATATGCTGCTGCATTACATCATCAAGAGATGTTGTTACATTAGTGGTTCTGATCGGTGCAGTCGTATGGGTGCAATGACACATGCGTTTTTAGTGCGCGAGGGTTTTGCTTTTCTTTGTTATTTTAAGCCCCCTTTGCATGTGAGATTAATTATGCATACCTTATCAATACACTAACATGTTCTACATTGTCTTGTTGTTTACATCGGTAGTAGATGGAAACTGCCCAAATCTCTTGAGATCGATGGCATTCAGGCCACCGAGAGCATTTTCCAGTGCTCTAGAAATGGCGGTGAACAGTGGTCGTTTGACGGGTGTTTTGTTCCAGCACTTGTGGATGAGGTCGTGAACAACGCGAGGGACGTTCTCAGGCACCTCCAACAGGCTCCTGCGCACAATGTTCTTCACCACCTGTGCGTTAGAGCAATCAGAGTAGGGGTGCTCCCCAAAGGTGAAGATCTCCCAGAGAAGGATGCCAAACGACCAGGAGTCGGAGTGTGGGGAGAACTTGCCGTGTTCCAGTGACTCGGGGGCCAGCCAGCGGAGAGGGACGGGGCTGATCTTGCTGCAGCTACTGATGATACAGTAGTCCTTGAGTGGGGGAGGTAGCTGAGACCAAAGTTGGCGATCTTGACATTCAAACGTTGACCAACCTAAGACAAAGGGAAAAACATAATCTACTACTCTGATGCTGTATTATTGCATTATATACACCTTGGACAGTGAGAGAAAACTTACATGACAGTTCCTGGCTGCAAGGTCTTTGTGCACTAGACCCTTTGAAGAGAGATATTCCATTCCGTCAGCCACCTGCATCCCTAGTCCTATCATATCATCCACCCCTATTGAGAGGTAGTACAACGTGTCAAATGTGGTTGGAAGGAAAGTTTAGCTGCACGTACGTACGACTAAAGTACGACTAGTGCATGGGCACTGACTGACCAAGAGCAGGAGAGGCTGTGGAGGCAGCAGTGCTGGCCTCTTCGTTGAGAATCTGGTCGAAGTCCATCCAGGCAGAGTCCAGGCTGCGCAGGAAATGTCTGAGTGTCCCAAACTCCAGGTGCTCAAAGATCATGTAGCGAGGCTCCTCCCTGTTGCAGACGGCCAGCAGAGACAGTATGTTGGGGTGGTGTAGCCCGAGGCCCACGTCATCGTCGGCTGTAAACTGCTGTTGTACGTGCTTGATGGTGTCGTTGCGAAGGGACTTTATAAACACAGTGGTCATTGGTTCATTCTCGTTGAGTCCGGTGGCCTCTCCGATGTAGGTGGGGCCAAAACTGCTCTCCTGGAGTCTTTGGTGATGCAGATGTTGGAGTGAGGGAACTCTAGGGCCTGGAGTCTCTGTTTTGGCGTCATCTTGAGGTACTCTTTCGACCGCAGGTTGCGAGCAAAGGTCCCTGTGGGTGCTGAGTTGTCGAGGCCGAGAAAAGCGTCTCTGATGTTCCCTGGTCTCATGAGGAGGGTGTTCTTGTGGTAGTCTTGGGGTATGGGATTGGGGTACCCCGGCTGGATGTACTCCAGGTTTCCCCCACCGTCCTGGACGTCGTCTCCACGTGGCGGCTCACTGGATCTACAGTAGCAGAGGGTCGTGGCCACCAGTAGAACTGCACACAGGAGAATGGGGATCCCAAGACACAGGCAGATGACTATAATGATGAGGGTAGTGCGGGTGATCAGTAGATGAGTCTGGGAGACAGTCCTCCATTACTGTGTCATTCCCTTAGATACATTCACAGGGATATAGCATTATGCAAAGAATAATTATCACAAGTGACTTGAAACCTGCAGATACCAATGGGACAGAATACAGTTAGTGTCCATTATTAGTGGTGTGGTCCTTTGTTTAGAGGCTAATAAAGGGGAAAGAAAAGGGTCCTTATTAGAGAGGTATCCTCATTTCAGGGGTGTCCTTAGAGAGGAGTTCCTCTGCGTTTTGAAAGCAGAGATCAAAAAGACCTAGAGTATGATTTTTATGTATATACCTGCATTGATAGAGGACGCAACCTCGCACTTCCAAGCATATTAGAGCAGTTTTGCAGAGGAGGTGTTAAGATCTGCTGGTTGACACGAACAAGTGTCGGTGGAGGAACAGCCAGTCTTGCTGGCACTCGTGAGCGATAGCTCAGAGCAGTCATCTTCACACTGAGAGATACTGGCGTCTTCCTCTGAGCTGTTGTTGCTGCAGTACTGCTGCACCTCGTGTACACGCTGGTGCAGTAGAGGAGTGGAAAGCCCCTCCCACGACACGGGCCGGGTGGATTCTCCGCATTCTCGCACTGTCACTGTTTGCGTCACTCAAGAGTGTTCTGAGCAGAGACTGTCTTGATTCCGCATTCTCCAGTGTGCAGATTTCCAATACCAGCTCACACTGCGAGCTGCACAGAGGGTGGGCTGTCACACACTGTGATCACACCGCACCAGTAGGCAGGCAAACACTGCTCCTGGCATCCGCACTAACAGGCTGTGTCTAGAAAAAGATGCAGCATAGAATAGCTTATTCGGCTACTTTGGCTCCTATACAGTATCATGGCCAAAGTCCGCTCTCTGTACGCTGTTTTTGTTGCCAAAAATGCTCACCGGGCAGAAAACTGGCAGATGGATGAACCTTGCCAACCTATTATAGCGTATCCTACAGCGACTAGCTGCAGACCGAACTTTGATCGCGAGGGCGTGACCTGAGCAAACTGTTTATAGAACATTCAGCCCAAGCACGGAATACACTTTACAACTTCGTACACATGGTTATCTCATTCTTGGGTGAATCGGTAGGCAGCCGCCCAGCGAACGACTAGAAACCCCAAAAAAAGCATCGTGCGCTTTGCGCACACACGCGCAGTACCAGTACTGTCAGAAGCTATTTATTTTTGAGTCTTGTGTTGGGCTATTGTCAGTTATTTAGTTTCTTTCCTTTAGGCCTTGCACTCATCTCAATGCAACTGAAATGCTTCTGCAGAGACAAAAAACATGGGTGTTTCACAAGAGATAGGAAACTGCGCCCTTCTGTGCTCGACTTTTTGAGTTTCTGTTGACTATTTCCTCCTCACTCACGAGTCTTCCCTTATCTGTTTGCCCACTAATCCATCAATTTCTGCTCTCTTACACTCCCAGCTACTATCAACCGCTTTAGTCTACAATCATTGGTTCCCATATATCACGATGCAGTGAAAACACTATCATTGCAAAGGCTGTTCATAGGACAGTGGAATCTCTGGACACCAATGGGCAGCAGAAAGTCAGTGTCCCTTTTAATTAGCATGAAAAATGTTCTCGCACACGTGATCATATCGTTTGGGCCACTGATGAATTTGAGTTCTGCTTTGTTGTTCCACTTCTGTTGTTCCGTCCACTCCCACAGACGATTCTGCCAATGGCTGCACTGTCAAAATAGCAACCTGGTTATGCAATCAGGGCTTCATCTCTTTGATGATTTATTCTTTGCTGTTGGTACTTTATCGACTGCTTCAACCTCGGCTCTAGTTTCGAATGGGTTCTCTCAAGCTTTTTCCTTTCTTTTCGCTTCCCTCTCCTCTCCCTCGTGCTCTATCAAGTTCAAGCTTTTGTTTTCAACTCACGAACCAGTTGTCTCCCCTGCCCTTTTTACCCCGCCTGACTTTCTCCTGCCTCATTGCTGCTGCCTTGCGCCCTGGCTTTTGCATTTTTTTTTTTCTGCTTTTTGCCTTTGCTGCCTTCTCTTTTACTTCGACATTTTGCTGATGGGTTTATCTTTTGTACACCAATGCAGAATCTAGGTGTGCTTGCTTGGGTTATATACCCTTTCTCCAAAAAGCAAAACACCCACATCCATTATACCCTTTTCTTTGCGATCCTCCCAATGCGTTCTGGAGTTGTCCAGTACTTTGGATGACAGATCCTTCTTCAAGTCCCTAGATGCTTGCTGTGGTTGGGAAAATCATTAGAGCGTTGGATAAAGGATTGTCCCAAACCTTCGTCTTTGACCTTCCGTATTTGGCAAAGCAAGCTTTGAGACTGTATTAGACAGGGTAGCCACTTATATTGTTACTCTGATTAGCAACGTTTAAACCCTCAGACAGGCGGGCTATATGGACAGCACTAAAGACTCAGGTCAACTGCAGTATAGTATGTCATCGAGTGGTTTCTGTGGACTTACGGAGTGTCACCCCACAGGACAGCCTCCAAAGGTGGATGGCGACTCCCCAGAAACTCAGAACACCCTCCTTTCCCTACTTTACTTTGATTTGACGAACTCTAGTATCCCTATGTACTTCCCTCATTTTCTTTCGGGTGGTTATCAGTCTGCTTTGTGGGGGGGGTGACCCCTGTTACCCTTCCTGGTGACGAACGAGCATGATACCAATGACAGTGCCCCTCCTTCCTCCCTTTACGTATTCCCGATGTTCACAGGAGATGAGCTCTCCTAGGGGCAGCCAGTTTCCTCCTCTTCCTCCACCCCCCCCACCACCCCCCCCGCGCTCCTGAGCCATCTCCTGTCGCCAATAGACTTCCTCACTTCACACACGATCTGAGATGAATGATAGGCAGGTTAGCTATAACTTACAGGTGATTGTATCGATTGTGGTGCTGCACTATTACCATAGGCACTGTGGGGAGAGTAGTGTGCCCTGTGTGAGGCCGCCGTGCAAAGGAGGCGATGCATGCGGTGGGCCACGTGTGTGTAGATGGAGAGGGGTGGCTGCTGCGTGCGCTGGAGGTTGGTGTTGCCGAGAGGAGTTGGTGACGGTGTGTTGTGAGGCTTGTGCTGCTGTGTGTCGAAGGCCGTGAGATGGAGGGCATTCAAGCGCAGCGGAGCGCGTGTGATGGGAGACTGATGCCGCTTTGTGAAGCTGCGGCAGTGCGGGGCAGATGGTGCTGCTGCGAGCAGGAGGAAGATGGTGGGTGAGAGTGCTTGATAGTGCGTCGTGCGGCCCTTTCAGTGAGACTGGCATTGAGAGATAGATCTCAGGACATGCGCCTGCATGGGGGAAGTGAGTAGTGAACAGCATGGACTAGAATAAGACATGTTTAGCTGTAGGAATGCATCAAAATACACAGACAACCAATATGCCTAAATACGATTACATAGACAGTGATGTACTGCGCAGAAGCCCTGTTCGCCAAGATAGCGTTTTCTTCATGCTATTATGTCTTCACCTCATTGCCCTACAAAGGGCCTCGAATATGCAGGCTCTAATGCCTAGAGAGTTGATGCAGACAGTGTATACCCACCCTTCAGCGTATACCAAAGCTGATGGCAACACAAGAGCTCTCTGCGACAGGCGACAGCTCCTGTTGTCTGCTCACCTCTACGCAGACAAATACGAGCTGGGAGCAGCATGTGCTTATATAGAGACGGGTGGCTACTAGTCTCACAGTGCAGAGAATATCTGCCCACACAGCGGAGGAGATGATAGCGACCCTGGCAGAGATGGGCTGTCCAGCTGTCTGGAGACTCTCTCCCCTCAGCTTCAGACCAGGGACACACACGCATTTCTGGCGTCCACCCCTGTCGCCGATACCACTCTTTGCTCAATTTAGGACCGCACAGTCCTTGCACTGTTACGCTTGCAGCGGCAACATACGATATTATATTCAGGCACCTCTCACTCATTCACACTCTGCCTACAGATGGTCGTGAGGACCTGACAAAGCCGCGCAGAGAACCAGAGCCATGACGGTCGGTGCTGCTACGCCAGTCTCCGGTCCGCGTCTCCACTGACTCTCTGGAACCACCAGTACCTGCTGCCAGATCCCCCTGAACACAGTGTACTTGCCAATGGTCGATACCTCTAAAAAGGATGTGGGCCAACACACACTCATGCGATGATGATCGATGGTGAGCAAGATCCATTTCTTCTCTGTGTCTGTCTGTCTTGGATCGACCCAAATTTTGGGCTTCCAATAAC